AATGTGACGCTGAACATTGGTAATAAGTACACATCCGAGTTCCACAAATGCCAGCAATCTGTCACTTAATGCTGAAATCAACATGTTTACTGGTGTATAGGCTGGTCCTACGTGAGATTCTTGTTGAGCATGGCACCGTTATAATACAATGAACAGGATGCAGCTCTGATTTATCTGAAAGTTTATTTTTCTGTGCGAGTGCTTTTTCATTTTTACATTGTTTTCAATCCTGAAACTATGGTAAACTTTCCTGCCACTGCAACTGCAGGGGCCATACTCGCTGCACGTGCAATTACAGTGCTTATAATTTCACTGCCAGTGGTGCCACAGGTAACAATGTGCATCAGAGAAGACTACATTAAAATTAGTTTAATTTCAAAGACCAGATTTGTTTAAAACTTCGATATCTATTTCAGGTAGAAGTTTTGTTTATTGAAATGTTCACATCTTGTGTATAGCAGCAAGTGGGACTGTGAGGACAGTATCCAACAGTATGAGCAAATGGACGATGAGCTTTGAACAGACAATGGGCGAACTATGATGTCAGCAGCACTGTGCAAGTGCCTGTAGACAGAATACCAACTTCCTGTTTGTGTAGTAGTAGGGGATAGTGAACTTTTTTTGGGGGGGCACGCAGTGGAGACGGGATATCTGCTACTGCATTTAACTAATACTGAGCACCATGTGAATTGACAGCATATAATAGCCAATTATATTCTGATGTTAAAGCCACAGACTAATTACTTCCTGTAATTATTTTTTCAGAACTTATTCAGTAGCTAATGTAAACTTTGGGATTCCATGTTAACATCACAAACAATTCAACTCTGTGTACCGTAACAGTTTTATCTGACAAGGCAAGCAGGAAACTGTTACCAGAAATCAACGTTTTGCAGATAAAGGTTTACTTTAGTTTACATTGCGCTTTTTATCAAGACAGCAGTAACTCCAATATTAAACATTTTAATGTAGGAAATGCACCAACATACTTCAGAAAACAGGGATAGATGGAAAACAATGCAGAAGTTGACTGAAGCAATGTGCTTGCTAGCAGAAGAGTGATAAGGATCATCTCAACAACATCTGGGAACAAAGACTACTAAACTGTTTTTCCAGTTTTTCCTCTGTCCATTACCCATTTTACCCTTTCTGCTGTGTGTAGCTAGGAGTTTTTAAGTGGGTTAGAGTTTTGATTATGATATGCTGACAGTTTATAACTGCTTACTTGTAGCTAGCATCTAATTGTTCTTAGTAGTGATTGTTATTCAGATGTGGAGGAGCTGGTGTTGGACTGAGGTGGACAAGGCCAGAAATCTCTCAACGCCAGGTTATAGTCCAACAGGTTTATTTGAAAATACAAGCTTTTGGAGTCTTACTCCTTCAAGTGTTAGTGAGAGAGGTAGTACCAGACACAGATTATATAAAAAGGGTAGAAACTTGATGTCTGTGTCAACATGTGCATCTCTCTCTCTCTCTCTCTCTCTCTCTCTTTCTCTCTCTCTCTCTCTCTCTCTCTCTCTCTCTCTCTCTCTCTCTCTCTCTCGTGTCTCCTTTTTTTCTACTTTTTTTTCTCTATCTCTCCCTTTTCTCTCTCTCTCTTTTCTCCTTCCCTAACCCTCCACCCACAAGCGCACACATGAATCTATGGGATGAATTTGTATTTGCAGATACATTCTATTTTGTCCAAAAAGCACACAATTTATAGACAGTCAATGTGGCGTTTTATAAATTCCTACTTTTAGAAGTAATACCAGTCTGACTCCAAACCAAAACACAAGCAGATTCTAAACAAGGCCTCTCACCTAACGTACATTGTCTGACCTAAAATGTCACCTCTTTTTTACACTGATAAAACCTTTAGTTGTCTCAGGACAGTGACTTCGAAGGAATTCAGGGATTTACATATGCATATTAATCAACTGAAACCTTCTAACTGATTAAAGATTTAACAGCATCTTAGGTTTGTTTAGAACCTCCTCGTCAGTGGTGTGACCCTTTGATCTGGGTTTGATGTGGATTACTGATATCTTAACGTCTAAGATATGATTTGGAAGAAATGACTTCAAGCAAAGTAATAAAATGGTATTTGTTCATGTTTAGATTTACCCTGCTGCTCTTTGGCAGTTCAAGACAGGGTATTTAAGGTTAAAGAATGCAGCTACATGAACTCTTCTCAGGCGGCTTTTACAAGCGCATTTTGGACAGGCTTCAAAACTATCAGAAATTTAAGTCCTTGTTGAAAGTGTTTGGCAAGCATTGAGCAAAGATTAACATCAATGATTATTCCAGCTGCTATCCTTCCCAAGTACTTGTTCATCCTCATATTGGGTCTGGATGTAAAGAGGAGAATGGTTGTCATTGAAGTACCCACTAATTATGTTTGTATTCTTCTTAAACTCATTCAACTGTCATTTGCTGATTATTGAGGTTGAGGAATAACTATGATCCTGTCAAGTTCAATCTGCAGTGTCGGTAGTCTTGTTTCACTTAACAGTATGTAGTTAGTGGCACCATGAGCCTGATAAATGTTAGGTGGCATATGACACTGAATATCTTATCTTGGAAAGACCACCTAGAGCTTTGCATTATTAGCAAGCCTAGTAAACTTAATGAAATCAAAATGCTGTGGATGCTGGAAATCTGAAACAAATACAGAAGCAATTTAGGTCTGCCAGCATTTGTGGAGGGAGACAACTCTGACCACCTTTTGTCATCTGCTCACATTTTGCACATTGAGAGTTTTATGGATATATAGTGCTGTGATATATAATGGATTGATGCGGAAAGTGGTATCATAGTGGTCACATGTCACTAAACCAGTAATCCATAGGGCCAATCCAGAGGGCCAAACCAATCCTCTGGAGACATGGATGTTGGTAGAGTATAAATTCAGTAAATAAATCTGGAATTGAAAGCTTAGTGGTGACCATGAAACAGTTGAAACCATAAAAACAGGCCAAGCAACATCAGAGGAGCAGGAAAGCTGATGTTTCGGGTCTGGACCCTTCTTCAGAAATTGAGAATTGAGAATTCAGCAATATGGTTGACTCTTTTTAATTTCTAATTTCCTCTGCAATAGCCTAGCAGGGTGCATAGTTGTGCCACGTGTGAATGCAAGATGAATATCAAGTTCAAGGAAGGTTTACATTTGGGCACTTTAACTTCTCCACTGGTCATGAGGAATAAAAGATTTAAAGCAACAAAGATTTCATCCTGGCAGTGAATAAGTAACAAATATTGTTAATTGGAGTCATCCTGCTTGATTTTGTAGGGATCTTCATAGAATCATACCATTTTACAGCACAGAATGGAACCTTTCAACAATTGTGTCTGTGTCAGTTCTCTAAAAGAGCAATGAACTTGGTTCCAATTCCCTGGCCTTTATTTGTAAAAGATTTTTTAGAACTTTTTTTCCAATATTTAACAGGCCCCTTTCTGGAAAAAAAGCTATTTTTGGTTAAACTTCTATGCATGTTTCTGGGAAGTCATTGCTCATCCAACTCGTCCACATTTTTGTGGTAAATTTCTTCTGAACTCTCATTTCATTCTTTTGGCAATGTTCTTAAATTTATGTTTAGTTTTACTAATACCAACGCTGAATTTGTTTTCCCCCTTTTACTTTAACAAAGCATCTTCATTTTAAATGCTTCTCAGATTTCCACGTGTTGTATTTTAATGGAAGCAACTGATTATGGATTTAGCAATGCATCCTTTCTGTTGTACTGTCTGTATTGTAACACAAGAATTCATGGGGGTTTTCAACTAGTATTTCCAGTTTGAAGGATTGGTTCATTAAAGCCCCAAAGTCTCTTTGATCCTCTGCTGCTTTTTACGTTTTCTCATGTTCTGCCTATTTTGTCTCATTTCTCCCCTTCGCAAAAGACTGAACAAATTTCATTCAACGTCCATCTGCCTGTTGTATTAGTTTGTCTATCCTTCTGAATTTATTCAAAGCCATCTCTACAATTAAATATTTGCTGAAGGAAATTAAGTGTTTACTTACAATATGCATGGCTGTGGAGAGAAGCAATTGTTCTAATACTTTTTGCTGAAGAAGAGCACGGTTACATTCATGTAGTTTTTAAAAAATTGCACTAATCACAACTTTTTGTCCTTCAAGGAACTTGAATCTGTGCTTTCCAGGTTATTCATTTTAACTTGTATTACAGCTTATTGAAACATACATTCTCCTTTACAGCTGATTTATACATTTTATGCTGGTTTGAATAATGTTAAATTGGTCAACTTCCAAACTTTTGAATACATAGCTCACAGTCAGCCTCACTGCTTTTCCCCCTCTGACTTGACTTTGCACTCTCGGGTGCATGTTTTCAGGACCCAAGTGCCTTTTCCACTGAATTTTGTTTCCTCTCTGGTTTGGCTTTTGTATCTATGAATTGCTGCAACTTCTCTTTCAGCCTTCGATCCTTTTTTTTTTACTGCATCCCATTCTTAAGGACTGAAGCAAAATACTCATTTGGTATTTCTGCTGTTCCTTCATGTAATTTGCTTTTACATCGTTAATTGAGACTGTTGTTTGCTCATTTACAAAATGCTTTGCTTTCTCCCTTTATCCCATCAGCTTTTCTACATATCATTTTGTTCTGTTCTAATATGTTTCTTCTTCATATTTTCTGTGTATCACTTAACTTTCTTCTGTCCTGAGAGCTCAATTTATTGTATAACACTTACCCCAAGTATCACATCAATTTATTCCGCTCTTCATCTAAGGAATGCCAGCTTAATTAACTTCATCTACCTAAATATTTTAAAACCAAGAATTTTCAGCACTCTGTCATGATGTAGGCTGAGCCACACATGATCACGGTACTTATTACACCCCATTCCCCAGTTGTAATTTTTACTTCCTGCTCATCAATTTTATTCACAATTTATTTTAAGCTTCATATGTAAAAGAAACTCAGACCTATATCTGTTTTCTTGCAGTGAAAACGATGGTGAATTATTGTATGAGAATTAAGTCTTTCATATCTTCTCAGGTTATGAGCTCCTCTACCAGCCTGAGGTGGTTCGACTCTATCTGTCCTTGCTCACAGAAAGTCGAAATTACAACACATTGGAGGCAGCAGCAGGTGCTCTACAGAACCTAAGTGCTGGGCAGTGGACGGTGAGTGCAGTAATAAAAATAAGGCTATAATTATTATTTACAGTTTTGAATGGAATTTTCCTATTAATGATAACACTTTCTACTTCACACTGCCTCAAACGGTTAACTCTTCTGTAGAGGCATCTAACTTGCATCAGTATTTTACTTGATAACGAGGATTTTCCAGTTGAAATTTCTGACTCGCCACAACAGTAGTTATGGGAATATTGTTTGTCACATGCACAAATTTTAGTTTTAAAAAATTAAAAGCCCTTCCATATATCTCTCAGGATAGGAATATTTGACAACACCTTCAAAGTACGTGACATCTACCACCTCGAAAGACTAGGACAGCAGGTACATGGGCACACCACCACTGCAAAATCCCCTCTCTAAGCCATCCTAACTTGGAATTATATAATCATTTCTTCTGTCACTGGGTCAGTATCTTGGAACTTTTTTCCTAAAATCACTGGGTGTCCCAACAGGCCAAAGACTACTGTAGCAGTCCCAGATGGCAGCTCAACATCATCTTCAAGGTATTTGGAGATGATAACAAAATACTGGCCTAAGCAACAACATGCACATCCCATGAAGAATTTTAAGACAACTTAAACATATGAACTTGGAGTAGGATTAGACATAATGGTAATGGCAGTGGATGAGTAATGCAACACCCTTGGTAAATGTTCTCAGGCTATGAGTTCAAGCCCCACAATGGCAGATGGTGAAACTGGATTTCAACAGAAATCTGGAATACAAAGGTAGCCCATGGCATCCATATTGTCTCTGTTTCAAAATCCCAGCTGGTTCACTCATCTCCTTTTGAGGAAGGAGATCTACTGTCTTTACCTGATCTGGTCTACGTGTGACTACAGTCTCGCAGCAAAGTGGTAGACTTTTAAATGCTCTCTGTGCAGTTACAGATGGATAATAAACATTGGGTTAGCTAGTGACGCCCACAATCCATGAACGTATGTGGTCTGCTCTGCCATTCCATATAATCATGGCTAATCTGATTATGACCTCAACCCTGGCTCTCCTTTGGTTGCCTTGTTAGTTAAGAATATATCTACTTCTGTCTTAAAAATGTTCAATGAGCCTGACTACACTGCTCTATTATGAAACGACTTCCAAGCACACCCAACCATCTTAAAAAAAAAATTGTTCTGTTTTTCTGTCTTAATTGGGCAATCCCTTGTTTTAAACTGGATCCTTTAGTTCTAGTCTCCTAAAAAGAGTGGCTTCTTTTAGCATCTATCCTGTCAATTTCTGTCCAGATCTTGTATGTCTGAGCTCATAAATTCACCTAAATGCAGAACAAATATAATGCAGAAATACATACTAGCAGTTCTCAAAAGGAATCCATTCCGTTTTATTTGCACATACAATTTCATGGGTCTGACCTTTTAAGTGGTGCCCTGATTTCTGTAATATCTGACACAGTTAATGCTCAAATCAGTGTCATAGGGACACCATGGAGAAAAACTGCCCAACTCTTGTTTAAAAAAAAAAGTAAAACAACAAACTAACTGAACTTATCTAAACCTGTGCAATGAAGTAACAGCATTCAGAAGTTCAGTTTCTTATGTCAAATTATGTGGCTTGATATGTTAGATTACAAACAGTAACATTAAAAGAACCTGCCTTTTGAGATCTACAGTGTCTTGGTTATTAAATGTGCCATCCAATTTGATACTGCACTGTCAAAAATGAAGCTGGTCCCAAACTTGGTCCATTGAATTCAGCTAGGGTAATGGTAGGTGACCAACATTTGGTTTTGGGGCTGATGGGTTACCTGTCAGTGTTGCTTCTCGGTGATGACAAAATCAAAATAGGACTCAACTCTGACAACCCACAAGATCAAGGGGTTTTGAGATGTGCACTGTTAGCCTACAGGGAAAGTAAAATAGCTGAAAGTGAGAGTAGGGAAAAGAAGGATACCATTGGCAAATGCATTGCACCCCAAATTAACTTCTTATCGTTAAGATAGGAGAATGTAATAACTATAATGAAGAAAACTTTGAGATCTTTGCATGTGGTAAAGATCCATTATTTCTAACCAAAATCAAAATAATAGTCACAATGTATCTGGGAATCTGAACAGGCTAACAGTGGCTAATGTCTGAAACAATGTTGATCAAGAAGGCTTTCTTTTAGATAAGAAGTGAAGAGTAGCCCTGAGGAAATGGTGGATGTGGGCACAATTACAACGTTTAAAAGACATTTGGATAAGTACATGAAAAGGAAATGTTTGGAGGGGTATGGGCCAGAAGCAGGCTGGTGGCACTAGTTTAGTTTGGGACTATGTTCGGTATGGACTGGTTGAACTGAAAGGTTGTATCCACGTTGTATGACTCTGACTCATGAGCTGTTAGAGCTGTGCATCTTTCATTGGGATGTTGTAGCTCTGCAAAGCCAGGGAACCTGAAGAGTTCCAAGAAGCAGCCTATGTTCATTCTCACAAGTTCCCTGTGAAACTCTTGCCAGGGTTTCAGGGACTCCATAAAACACTTCCTATTACAGCTAACTTGTGCTGTAAAACGGAGCCATGAATTTTTGGCTTCTAAACAAATTGTGACTTGTTCGCAACCAAGTGCTTTTATTATACAGCTGCTGAGCCCATTCTGGAGATGTTGTTTGCATGCTTGCCTGCTTTAAGAAGCAGTCACTTGTAGGAGCTTTTGTGGGTTTGTAGGGGATTGGTGGGTCCAGCAATAACCATTGGAAGACAAGTTGATTTGTGTAGTTATTGTTTCAAAAGTAATTTTTAGTCCTAGGCAGTTTAAGTGGTCGTTCTATTCATTTGAAAGCAAAATGTGATTTATCATGGAGTGGTAAGGAATATAACTTATACATGTATGCAAATGTGGAAACCTTTAGTTCAGGCTTTCTTTAGGCTGTACTGACAATTACTGAAAATTTTGAGATGTGCTGTTTAAATTTCCACTTGATAAGTCAATTGTTTCAGAAAATTGAGTTTCATTAAAAATCAAAGTTTTACAATGAGTTGAAATTTAGCAAATGCTGGCGCTTTGAATTTTTTTTAAAAAGCACATGAGGTCAGCAATATCTGATATAAAGCAATGTTGTGAAAGCTCAGCCAAAGTATGAGGGATAAATAAATCTGATGTTGGAGTGATTGATAAGGTGCGAAATTGATGTACACTGTTGAAGCAGGTGCTGCTGGGTGAGGTCTCTAGTATTTTTAATTAAGAGCTTTGTTTTTAAGGTTTCCATTTTTAAAATGGCAAGAGATAGTTTGGTCTTCAAGTTCTCAACCGATTCTTGGTGAATTCCTCATTTATGGGCAGAGATTTTATGTAACTATTTCTTGCTGATCTTTGAGTTTTTACAGTCAGTAAATGATCAATTAGCCACTTAGTTTCATTTTCATACTTTTCACTTGGAGAATTCATACTCGTCAAGAGAGAATTCAGTTTCTCTAATTTACAAAATTACTTCCTAGTTTCTAGGTGAATCTAGTTTGCACTGATGAGTTTGAATTTGGTAATTTTACTTGTTATTGCAGTGGTCCAATTACATTCGTTCAACTGTGCGGAAAGAAAAAGGCCTCCCGATCTTGGTAGAGTTGCTAAGATCAGATTCTGATAAAGTCGTGCGAGCTGTGGCAATCGCATTACGAAATCTTTCTGTGGATGGACGCAATAAGGATCTCATTGGTTAAGTATAGAAGATAAATGTAATATTTGTTGTAAAAGTTGTAATCTTGGTTTGAGTTGCCCAATGGCTACTGATGTAAAGAAACAACAGTTTCCCGCCTAGAAGACACTTTTTGAAATTTGTAGTCTTAAACTGTTATTTGAACTTGGTCTTTGAAACTCAGTTTTGTCTATTTTTATTTCATCTAATGAATGGACTGAATTGTCATGAAGGACTGAAACTCATGGCAGAAGAAAACTACCATATTATGTCCTGTCCAAGGGAACTATCCCTCATTTGATGATAAGATAATATGATCAGTCGTTTTGGAAAGTTCTTAGTACATTCTGTCACTCCTCCAACTGAGGGGGACAGCAGGAAGAAACCATAGAATCAGCTGAGGATGAGCTGACAAGTCAGTTGATTGCAGATTTCTGTAAGGTTTCTAATGCCATCAAGGAGAGAGTCTATATTTCTTTGATTTTCCTCAGAACTATGAAGCTCCATGCTACATGGTGACCAAGTTAGAGTGATCAAAATGTTTTCTCCCTCGCCCTTCTCTCATCCTTCCCCAAATAAATCTGAATTTGAGGTTCTTAGTTTGGGGGTTTAAGTAGCTGGAATTCAACTTCTTGACTTTGGTTTTTGAAAGTGGGGAGAATTAGTGAAGATTTTAATTGAGTACCTGTCTAACACAATTCCTTTTCATTTATTTGAATGAACCGCCAGCACTTGAGGAGCAAAAGTAATTCATTTTCTATGGGTTTCACAATTTGTAATGTCTTCAACTGTGCTATTACAAAGCTACTTGGGATCTGTTACATTTCCCTAAAGTGGATTTAGGTTTATTGAAGATAAATTCCAAATGAATTTGGTTAGCATACAAGGTTCTGAAGAAAGGGCAACCTGGTAGCTTTAGCATCAGATATCAGACTTCAAGCCACTTTAGGGTTCTGCCTGATAAAGGCCTTAACCTAAGAGGAGATGTCCCTTATCTCGATATGCATTGTTGTATATTTTTCATTACCCACACCAAACTTGTTTTACCCTCTTGGAAGTATAAATCTGGTTATGCTCAATTTCCTTGAGACTTCATGGACCAACTGTGAACCCATCCTACTAAACTTGAAAATAAAGAACTTTTGTACCCTTAAGAGATTATCCTCTGACAATAGAATTTTCATTGAGATCAACTCTATAATGTAAATAAGGATACAGTGACAGCAAAAACTTCTCTTAAGAGAGGGGCCATCTCCTTTCTCTGACATCATAGATATTCAAGTCAAAGTTCAATAACTTAGTTGTGATCCCCAAGTTGTGGGAAAAAAACCTATGCCCGCTGGTTCAGAGTAACATTGGCGTAGGAACAGACTAGAAAGGAGTGGAGACGGGTGAGAAATTTTAGACTTGCATACCTTCAAAAATATGATCAACACTCTTGAAAATTACTACTTAATATTAAAAGAAAATATTTCCCATACAGAAAGTTCTGAAGGTTTTCAGTTATGTCTATTAAAATGGTACATTTAAGACATAGTTAGTAGGAGTATTAAGAGTTGAAACAGAACAAATTGTAATTGTCTTCAGTTAAATGTATAGATGAATTCGAAAATTTCTGCTTTGGATAAACTGCAGATTGTGAAATCTGATTTTGTGAACTTAGAACATTAAAAACCCATTTAAGTTCACAGCTGAATTTTCACGAGTTCAACAAACAAAATTGTGTTGTCAATCTCCACAAAGCCTTTAAAGCTAGAGTTTAAAGGTGATGTGTCAGTAGAAAGTAACAATGCAGAATAAGGATGCATTTATCACCAGCTGCCAAAGGATACTTGATGATAAGTATTTGCCTGCAATAAGTTGTTGCCTCAATTTTATTAAAAATGAAATTCATTCAATTCTGGCTTGTCATGCTTGCAAAATATATTCAGTAAATGGATTTTCATGGTTGTATTTTCTGCCTCCATGTCTCTTGCAGGTAATTATGCTATGCACGATCTGGTAAGTAATCTAACAGGTGGTCAACAAAGACCTGCCAAGAACCTTGAAGAAGACACAATTGTTGCAATACTCAACACTATCCATGAAATTGTTACTGACAGTTCATCAAATGCCAGATCCTTGATTCAAGCACAGGGCATTGAGAAGCTTGTGGCAATCAACAAATCCAGGTAAACTAAATGAAGTTTATAAATTGGGTGGAACTTCCAAGATGTTTTGAGAAATTGAAGTACAAATAGTCTCTGAATTGTCCTTGTCACTTCTTGGTGTTGAGTTATGTGCTTTACTGACTGCAGTTACTGAACCAAGATTTTATTTTGATGCAAAGGTGTACAACTTGATGTTCTAAAGACTACTTTTATTTTGTGGACTGTGGATTAAACTAGGAGAAGATACTGCTTTAAGTGAAGGAAACTGTGCAATGTTTGCAGTTTAAAAAACAATGACTGGACCACCTTGTGAGTTCTTTTTACAACATTGCTTTATTTGAGCAGTGAGAATTCCTGACAAAATGGCACCGCCTTTCTGCTCAGATCTGTTTTGCCCAGAGACAATCTTTTGATTGGCTGCTAAGCAGGTGGCTATAGTCTTGTGTATGGACGAGTCCAGCAGAAACATCCAGCCTGTGAAGAGAAAGTCTCTGTCTCTGTTTCCACCTCTCTCTGTCTCTCTCTCTCTCTCTCTCTCTCTCTCTGTCTGTGTCTCTGTTTCCACCTCTCTGTCTCTCTCTCTCTCCCTGCTCCCCCCACCTCCCTTCACCCCCATTTGTGTGGAGAGTAAAAGAAAATTCCTGAATTGCTAGCTATTCACCCTCCCATTTCTCTAAGTTGCCTTCTCTGCAAATCCTCTATTGGAAGGAGCAAGGGCAAATCATCCTCAGAGCCACTAAAAGGTTGAATCCTCCGCTAGTCAGTGAGAGACTCTGGATTGGTATATGCACAACCTCGTGTTATGAGCAAAGTTGAAAGGAACAGGAAAGCAAAGCTCATCAGCAGTACCTCTAGCAAGTGACCTCTGCACTTGCCAAGGCATACAATGTCTGTGCACCTTCACTGAAGAATTAATGACTCCTAATCAAATTTTACGACTCTTAACCAGAAGGAAAAGGATTTCCAGCATTCCACTGCAATCTGATGCTCGGACCGCTTTTCACCCCTACAATATCTAAAGTATCTAAACTTTATCCTCGAGCGCTAAGTGCTGCTCTTTCTGTCTGAACTGAAGTTTTTTTTTTTGGTAATGTGGCAAGACCGATGTAATTTAAGACTTTTCAACACTAAGTTTATGTATAATACAATTTGATAATGTTAAGCTTTACTATGTACACTAGTGTGCTAACAAGATCAAGTCAAAGTATGACTCTTAGAGTAGCACTGCTTATATAAGGGGCTGGTCAGCTTGTTTGCAATAGAGTGCTGCCAACAGTGTGGGTTCAATTCCCACACCGCTGAGGTTACCTTGAAGATCCCATCTTCTGAACCTCACCCCTTGCCTGAAGCTGGTGAGTCTCAGGATAAACAGCTGGTCGTTGTGACTCTCTAATGAAGGCAGCCGTATTGACCCCTAGTATGGCAACTTTACTTACTGTTTACATGACTGACCAATCAATGCTAACTCTCAGGATGTTTATAGTCAGAGATTCAGAGAACATGATGATTTTGATTGTAGGGAGGTAGCTATACTTGTTTATGGCGACAGTGTTTCAACTAAACAAAATTGAATCCCTTTGCTTCTGAGCATTAAGGTTTTATCCAGGTTGACCCATATAACTCAATTGTCAGCTGCTAAAGTATAAAGTGCCTCTCGGATTTAAGGGAGTTCTTTGAGACATACAGATGGGGATTAAAATAATGGTCAAGCTAGTAAACGTATACAGGAACATTTTTGTCAGTAAAGCAAAGGCAACAAGTTCAGCATTTGTCTTTGCACTGAATCTGTCTTAAAAATACTTCGATGCTTATGCTAGTTTTTAACTATGCTGATTTGAATTTAACATTGTAGCCAGTCAGTAAGAGAGATGAAGGCTGCTGCTCATGTCTTGCAAACAGTTTGGAGTTATAAGGAGTTGAGAAATGCATTGCATAAAGATGGCTGGAACAAGTCCCATTTTCAGGTAAGAGTCCCATTTAGAATAGAAAGTAACTGAAGAATCAACTCCAAGATTTTGGGGGTTTAGCTGTGCAAAATTTTACAAGGTCAGCAGGTTTATGTTGTATTGTTAGTATTTGACACCAGTTGTTGACTTAGACCGTCAGTTCGTTAAAAACTAGCGTCTTCAAGACAGGATTATGCAATATTTTTTCAGTTTAGTTAGCTACTTGCACTACAGGTAAGGCACCATTTTGATTTGTCTGCATGGGAGTGTTACAAGCTCAGCATAAGTGTAGCTGACATTTGAGCTTTCTGAACTGACTGGAACAAACAGGAGACATTACATTTGACACTTGCCATGTTCATAGATATTGATTTATATAAATTACATAGTCCACTTTGTTTCAAGAAACTATTTGACTGGTTTAAATGAAGTTTCTAAGATTGAATGTCAAAAATATCTGAGAAAAACATTGTATTAGATTTTATGGAAGTGCAAGCCTCAACTCACTTTTTTGCTGTTGCCTTATGGACTCTGATTTCCTGAGGGACGGCATTTTGTTTTAATAAATATACTTTCTAATACGTGTTTGTAGTGTGTTCCTATTTCTTGCACTTCCATTGTTTGTCCCACTTCTAGATGTCAAGTGCCTCACTCGGCTCATCTTGTATAAGAAAGCATTGCTCCAGGGCTTGAGTACGTAATTTAGGTTTGTTCTTTGATTCAGTACAGCAGCTGAGACAATAAACGGAGTCTCTAGGTGGATGTAAAACAACCTGTGGCATGTTTCGAGTAAATCTTCATATTTCCTATGTTCTGATCTGTATTTTTCATTTTATTGTTGCTCTGGATCAATCACAATACTTGAAGTCACCGGGCAGAGTTATTCTGGAAAAGTTTGATTACTAGGGCCTGATGTATCATTGCAATATCAATTGAAACCCTTTGAATTTCTATACTCACCTGCTCTGCTTTAGCCAGCATTAGTCGAGAGTCCTATCAAGGACGAAACAATTTTCTCTCTTTCATTTATAAGCAATCAAAAATGAGAGAAATTAATTAGTGTTCAGCCAATTACCATTTTATTATCAATGAGAGCCCCAGAAAGTAACAGTAATAATTGAAGGGCTGCATGGTCACTTTCAACCACAAGGAATACTCAAAAGGTGCAGGAGAACCTTTTAATTATAGATTTCCATGGAACTTCTGTTTGTTGTAGGAAGTTGATGGTTTGTGCCAATGCCAGTAGGCAGAGCTCCACAAAATGCTACAGTGTCACGTAAAAGTAATTTTATGACTGTTTCAGAAGTCTGTGATGCCTTAACAAATAAACTCTATATGTCGTTTAGCCGTAAAGATGCGCAAAATCTCAATTTTCAAATTCACATCTGCCAAATTGGAGGTCCAGCTTCTATAATTGGTTTTAGTACCTTATATTTTAGTGAAGTTTGAACAGATACTGATTCCTTTTGACAATCACAGATCGATGATCGCTGCTGGTAAGTGTTTGATTAAAGCAGAGTTGAATGTGGCTACAATGTTCTGCAGCCAAATCAACTGCTGTCCCACATTTGAGACTTGCACAGAAGAATGTTGTCCTGGGTGAGGCATTCAAGTGTGGTTGGCAGTTATGAAACTGTTTGTGAAATAATCTCCAAGAAAATGTACAGAAAAATGTAAACAAAACTTCTGTGTCTGTTTGAGTAGAACTTAATTTCTTAAACTTTTTTTTAAACAATATGTAGCCTAATGTGACTACACTTCCCAAAGGATCCAAGAGTGGTGGCAAAGCAATTGGCTATGATGACAGCACTCTCCCATTAATTGAAAGAGGCCAGAAAGATGGTGAGTGTTGGTCATTTAAATTACATCTGTCTTCTGTCTCCAGTTTGTGTGCTGATAATATACCTGGCCTGCAGCACTAAAAACTATCTTCAATTTTGGAAATCACAACACATTTGATGATGGACATTATTTAAAATGTTGGCCATTTTTATATAATATTTCCATAGTTTTTTGTTACAAGTAGCATTATCTTCCTATACTATGTGCCAGTTATCTCTTTGATGCTCTGAAACAGTCTGATTTTTCATCCTCCTCTCCTTCCTGTTAAAATACTAGAGCTTCGGCTCTCTGTGTTCCAGGTTGAGAATATTTGGGATTTTAGTGTGTTACAACTGTTTTTGAGTTGTGAGGGTGTCTGCCTTGCTAAGAATTACATCAATGAGCTCATCATAACATAGAATCATAGAGTCCCAACAGCTTGGAAGCAGTCCATTCAGCCCATTGAATCCACATCAACTCTGCAAAGAGCATCCCACCCAGACTTGCCGCCCCCGCCCACCTCGGCCCCCACCTCATCCCCGCAATCCCTGCATCTGTCATGGCCAATCCACCTAACTTGCATGTCTTTGGACTGTGGGAAGAAACCGCAGCACCCGAAGGAAACCCACACAAACACTGGGAGAATGTGCATACTCCACACAGACTGTCGACTGAGGGTGGAATTGAACCCTTGCTGTGAGGGAGCAGTGCCCCACATCACCTGCCAGTCTTCAGGTCAGGTCAGGTCTTACGCAGATTTGAGAAAGGAAATGCACGTAGTACAGACAGAAATGAAGACGCAGCATTGCTGCTCCTGTTGTAAACCCCATACCCATTCAGGTCAAATGAAGAAAGCCTTGTTCAGTTTGTTTTAATAAACTGATTTAATTTGAATTACAAGATGTGTGCCATCGGACCAAACAATTAAATTGTTTTAAGTTGAAATATTGTGCTTCAAAACAAAAAATTTGAGCTTTCCCCATCACCTCCATTGAGGGAGCTTCCAGGCAACAGGTTCTTAAGTTCAGGCCAATGCTGCTCTGTAACCCACAACTGGGCACTTGGCAAAAGTGACCTGGATTACATTTTTGCCAGTTGTTGTTCCCTTTGGCATTTCTTCATCTGGCTAACGAGGAGGTTTGCAGCCGTGGGCCTGTGACCTAGTGATCTATTGTTCTGAGAAACAGAGCTTTATCTTAACTTTTTCTGTATGTTGATTATTATTAAGCATTGCTTTTCAGTTATGTGTTGTCAGCTTTAAGTTTTTACTTCAAGAGTAAAAGCAATACGTGAAACGTACCACCTTCGTAAAATAAATATCATCTTCAAGACGGTAACTTGGATTTCTCATATAATGATCTGGAATGCACTGGCCAACACAGGGCTCTGATAAAGGAGCAAGGAATGGGACCAGTCCGAAAGCTCTCTGAAAGAATAGACACTGACACAATGGGTCAAATTGGTCCTTTTGTACTGTAATGGTTTCTGAAATCATATCAAGTACTGTTTATTTGTTTGTGCATATTGTTATATGTTTGCCATTTAAAATTTCAGTGTTTGAGTATGTTCGTCCATGTTATTGTTCATGCAGTGAACATTCATTTTGTGTGCTCACCACAATTTCAGCTGGTTCATCTTGACTGCGATTTTGACATGCTTCTAAAATCACCAGCTGAACAAAGTGAAACTGGAAAATTGACCAACTGTTCGCATATCTGTACCGTTCATTGATCGCAAAGAGGTGATCAGACTGCTTTACAGGATGATGAACATTTAGCAAGTAGACACAGGCAAACGAAGGAGAAAACGGTGGTGTGATTTTTTTTTTAACGGAAAGAGATATTTCAAGAATTTTGCTTTCACTTGTTGCATATGCAGTTGTCTGCCAGGTGCTAAATACTTGTGAGGGGATAATAATATTCGAACTATTGGATTCTCAGGATTTCAAAAAATGCCCTGCAGTGCTCAAAGGGTTTGACGTTAAATCCTGGAAGCTTTTAGTAGCTTGCAGTTAACAAGTTCAGCTTGTGTATACTCAGAACCTCATGGTAAATTTTATTTTTAGGTAACAAATGGTCTGGTGAAATGATTCCCATGGAGCAGTTTGTCCCAGGTAAGTACTGCTTTGAATTCCTTTTGCTTGTGTTCATGACTTCTGCTTACTATTATAGCCAATCCTCAGTGCTTTGAGAGGAGAAAATTATCCTGCAGTATTTTGTTCCATTTAAAATTCATATCACTTGAATTAATAGCTAGGTTTGTTTTCAAAAGGAATAACATGGTAACTATTTCAGTTCGATTTTGGACTTCTTTTGGGTTTGCAGTCATCTACTGAGGATTCTTTTGGGATTTGATTTTTATTCCCCAGTTGTGTTGTAATATAGGTACTTGAAATAACCACAAACGAATGCTTTAAACAATTCAGCTGCTGCCCCTAGTCGTTAAAATCTGGTATTACACTAAGCAAAAAATAACAAAATGGAAAATTACTGACAGTTCAAAATCTGAAGCAAAAAAGAACTGGAAATGCTGGAAATCTCCAAGATCAGGCAGCATTTGTGAAGAGAAATATAGTTAATGTAGGTTGATGACATTTCAAGTTCTCAAGCAACCTGTGTTCTATTTAAATAGGAGATAGTAGGAACTGCAGATGCTGGAATCCGAGACAACAAGGTGCAGAGCTGGATGAACACCGCAGGCCAAGCAGCATCATAGGAGCAGAAAGGCTGACGTTTCGGGCCTAGGCCCTTCATCAGAAATGGGGGAGGGGAAGGGGGTTCTGAAATAAATAGGGAGAGAGGGGGAGGCGGATAGAAGATGGGCCTCCTGCAGTGCCACAACGATGCCACCAGAAGGTTGCAGAAACAGCAACTCATATTCCCTTGGGAACCCTGCAGCCCAATGGTATCAATGTGGATTTCACAAGCTTCAAAACTCCCCCCCCTCCCCCTACCGCGTCCCAAAACCAGCCCTGCTCGTCCCCGCCTCCCTAACCTGTTCTTCCTCCCACCTATCCCCTCCTCCCACCTCAAGCCGCACCCCTATCTCCTACCTACTAACCTCATCCCACCCCCTTGACCTGTCCGTCCTCCCTGGACTGACCTATCCCCTCCCTAACTCCCCACCTACACTCACCTTTACTGGCTCCGTCCCCGCCTCTTTGACCTGTCTGTTTCCTTTCCACCTATCTTCTCCTCTATCCCTCTTCTATCCGCCTCCCCCTCTCTCCCTATTTATTTCAGAACCCCCTTCCCCTCCCCCTTTTCTGATGAAGGGTCTAGGCCCGAAACGTCAGCCTTTCTGCTCCTATGATGCTGCTTGGCCTGCTGTGTTCATCCAGCTCTGCACCTTGTTGTCTCTTCTATTTAAATAGCAAGTTTATTAAAGTCAAAAGTAACTAATATCTAGCCTTGGTTGCAAAGTAGTAATTTAGTGCTATTTCAAGTTGATTTTGATGTATGTTTTGCAAGGTGCTGAAATCTTCAGGTTTTACTGATCTCTACACAAGGCACTTTTATTCTACTCACCTTGGATGTTTTAGATAATGAGGACTTTTGATACCCTACACCAGATTTAAGTTAACATGTCTAGAAACCCTTCCTATGCCTCATTTTCTCTCCTGCTCCAAGACTTGGTTTGAATGACTATTTCTTTTTCACATTTGTTTGTAGATTAGGTTGGTGCATGTTGGCTTTGACTACTTGTGAATTATTTTTCTGTTTATCTCATCCTCAGAAATTGAAATGTGCTGTGTGATATTAGTCTTGTACTTCAAAATCATTCATGGAAATGCATTTTGAGATGCATGCCTTTGTTCTTGAATTATGTATTTGTTACCACAGATACTTACTCTACCTTGGATCAGAGAGAGAAAGAGCGCAAGTGTAAGACTATGGATGTTTCTGGAGATGCTTTTGAGCAGCAACCTTTGCGGGTAGGCTATGTTGTGGTCATTTATAGTTTTCTCAAGAAGCCTAAAGCAGATCTTGTTTGATTCCTGAATCCAGTTCTGGATAGAACTATTAAAACAAACAATCTTAAGTAGCTAGTATCCTGGCACACGTGTGATGATTGGTTGTCGTGTGTGATAGACCTGTTCATAATCGCATGTCAGTTGCTGCTGTATGTAGCTATTTTGAAGAGATTAATGACTTTCAAGCTTATTACCTCACTGATAATCTCTAGTTAAATGCTTTATGTGCTTTCTTACCTTCTTACAAAATTCTTGTCCTGGAAATGCTCCTGTCGTGTTTGATTTGTCGGCTATGTGCACGAATGTTAATGCTACCCTGAATTGAAAGGGTGCTTCATTGTGTTTGTGAATGTTGCATGAACTGTTCTGAATTTTCCAGAAATATAAGGCCACAAAAATATGTTTTAACAAAAAGATTTTTTCGAAGAAATTCCCCTTGAGAAAAGTATTCATTTTGCTGCCCTGATCATGTCATAGTGCATTGACATCTCAGATGTAGAGTGTAGGATGGTAGATTCAGTTTCATGAGGCCGTAGGAAGTGAATGGACTGTGCTGATATAACTAAATAATATTTCACCGAAGTGTAAGCACCATTTAATGAGACAAAAAGAGAAGGGTAATTTGCAAGTTTTGTGACGAGAACAATGGGCACATAGTGCATTACGGTAATGCTGAGGAAAAAATAATTTTTGATACTGGTGAATGGCCCTATACAATAATACTTAATGTGTAATTTTTCTATTTATGGATTGAGTTTTTTTGACATGACCTTCATGGATCCTTTTATACAATGACTTGAATTAGATTCCATTACCAAATTATCCATGTAGCTGACTCAAATTCAACTTGACGTGACCCCATGAAACACTTTTTTTAAAAAAAAAACCCAAAGGACACCAAGTTAGCATTTCAAGTAGATGAGTATTTTGAACTCTATAATATCCTAATCACTTCTTGGCTTTACAAAGAATAAGTGGAACAAAAAAGTTAAAATAAAGAAGGGAGACTTTATCAGAACACTTTTTCAACAATGTGCTGTTTTATGAGCTTTAATTAAATGCCAAGATGTTTTGTGAAGTGGAGCAGATGTTCCCATTATTTTCTGTTAAATACTTATTTGTTTCAAACCAAATCTCCAAAGATTTATAGCTTCATATAATTCATGCTCTAATACAGTGAATCAATGAGTGAAGTTGCATTTTCTGTTCAGCCAATTTCCTCGTCAAACTGTAGATGCTTGACAAGGTTTGCAAAATAATTCAATTCAATCACGTTCTGGGCAGATTTTCAGTAGCCCTTTACATGTCTGGCGAAGCAAATTAACTTGGTTCAAAATATGTTTTCAGTGCACCCAAATTTAAATGCACGCATTCCATATTAGTGTTAAAAATAACTCCTAAAGATATTTTTGTGGTCTTGGTCTTGAGCTGTCCAGTATAGTTAATTGCTTTTATGTTAAACTAACTTGCCTTTATCTATACCTGTTTTATACCAGCTCTCTTGCTATTAACCCTTTCCCTGTTGCTACAGAATGATTCAAATAAGAAAAACATTAACAGGATTAGTAGGGCCTCAGTGAATCTTGTGGATGCTAATGACACAAAACCTCAACCTGTTGACTCCTGGGTCTAAACGTTTGCATGGTAGGTGTCTTTGAGTTCCAATCACCTAATTAATCTATTGCAAAATGGCCTCCAATCACATTGAAGTAAAATCATTAACCATGTAACTTTTGGTTTTGAAGTCTCATTGATTAGTGTTTGCACAGCAGTTGCTTCCTGGAATTGAAAGGATGTAAATACAATCTGTTAAATCTTTAAGGAGCCTTGCTATTTTATACAAGTTTTAAAGTACTACATTTTCTAATAAATACATGATGGAGTTTAGACTCTTCGATTCTTTTGTAAGCTAGTTACAACTTTCCTCTTGAGTTAACCCAATATTTATTATATCAATGTATATCTGGAGTCTAAAACTGCTCTGTGCTGTTTGTGTATAAAACCCTCAACTTAAACTGTCACCCTATGGCATAGTGGTTGTGTCCCCCCCGGACCAAGTGGCCTGGTTCAAGTTCCACCTACTCCACAAGTCTGTAATAACATCTCTGAACAGAATGATTGGAAAAATCTGAGTTGTCACTCTGCCCAATAGTACCTGAAGGTTTGGAGCAAACTACAATCTCATGGCACAAGTGATGACAAGCAGTGAAGTTGCTCCTTCATCAGATGTAGCCAAAGAAAATAGACTGATCGTTTATGTGAATGTTGTTTGTGGGACATTTCTATGGGAGAATGGCTGCTGCATCAAGATATGTTGACATGGTAACTCACTGTAGGGAATCAGATCAATATGCTCTCCTTGAAAGGCAGAATAGACTAGAGGGCCTGCATGATCTATTCCTGAGTCTTAGAAATTGAATGCTTTTGTTTGCGTTAAAAATTGCACTTTATCTATTTTGATGTAAAATCACTGACCAAGGCTAACATTTCTTCCCATTTCAAATTGCAACTTAAGCCTGCTACGTTCATTTTGGCTGAAATATCTTATGAAGAACAGCATTGCTGTTTCGACTAGTTTTACTTTTTCAATTACAAAATTCATTGTGATATAATGAGCTGAAAACTTTTTTATATGCAGTGTATGAAAAGTATGTTTTGACAAATGAATAAATTAAGACTTCAAGATTCTTTGTGCAGAATCGATATCGCAAAGTCACGTTTACTCCTTTATGGACAAACGCATTCCGGTACAGCTTAGTCACAGTTATCACTGCAACAATAAGTCTTTTGGCTGATTATGCAAATATGTACATACAGAATGGCTGGTTTGTAATGCAGTGATATTAACAGCGTGGGTTCAATTCCTGCACCGGTTGAAGTTAGAGGTAGCTCTCCGAGAAAGCAAGTATTGCGTTACTGTGTGATCTTGCATTATAGAAAAACGCCACCGAAAGTTACATTATAGGGAAATCGCTATAGAAAATCGCTATACCTGTACAGCGGAAAGTTTGCGTTATCCAACAGCGTCCACTATTCGTCAATTGCATTACAGCCAATTCACTTTAATGAAACGTGCGTTATAGCAGAACTACCTGTAGTGTGAAGGATTCTCCTCCCCAACCTCTCCTGTTGCCTGAGGCATGGTGACCCTTGGTTTAAACTATCACCAATTGTCTTTAATGAGAGAACAGCTCTAGGACTGGTAGGACTACGGCAACTTTACTTTTACTTTAATATGTATTTTTGACCATACTAGTGCACCAGCATGTCATTCTGCAGCTATCTTTTACGTTGTTGGTGGAGTTTGCGAACTGTCAGCAGTCTCCTTTAGATAACTGTTGAAAATGGCCAAACAGTTTTCATCCTGCTGCTTTCTCCCACTGATATTTAAGATTTTGCTTGATGTGTTGTGTGGAGTTGCTGGCATATATACTATTTGCCTGTCACTGACACTCTGTAAATATACACTAAGTAATGTGTGCACTTTGTAACGACTGGTTCGAGTCGATAATCATCTCCTTGACTGCATTGCACTTATTCATTAAGCAAAGTCTGGTAATAAGAAATACAGACCATGCCCAAAGTTTACTGATCTTAATTGAAAGAACTGTTGGTACATTAGGCTAGATGGGGCAACCTAACGTGTTTCAGCTATTGATTCTAGCTAATAAGTGTGGCAATCAAGTAAAGGACAGGACTAGCAGTGACAGTGAAGTTTTTGGTGATCTACATTTGTCCCAAAAAAATGATTTGATAGACTGCCAGCATCTTTGTATGTTTGTGTACTTGTGTTGCTCTGTTCTGTTGTTCATTTTGATCCTGTCTCCAATGTGCTAGATTCACAATGATAGCTTCATGCTGCCTCCACATTCATCTGTGCAATTGGCCAAGCATGCAGATGGGTCACATACCTGTGATATGAAGAGAATGTGTAAACATGAAGCATAGTCTATAATTCATTGGAATTATTAATTTTTCTACTTAATTTAGAAATTGTTATTTGTTTTTACTTTGTAAAAAGCAAATTGTTAAATTGCACTACCTTCTGCAATTGTTACCAACATTAAAAATAGCTTGCAAATTAGAACGTTATACTGAGGTTAATTGTGATTAATCGACAGCTCTGAGTTAAGTGATTTATCTTTTAGTGTTGTGCTGTCACATAGGCAGTTATGCCAGCCATGACCAGTAAATCTGTTATACGTCTACCACCGCAAGGGGGCAGAATATTGGATTAACAGCTCATTCAAAAAACTGTACTTCTGACAGTGCAGTACTGCTTTAAACTGCATTGCACTGAAATTGCACAATTTGATGCTGAAGTTCAGTGGTCGGGCTTGAACCTGAGTCCTACTGATCCTGCAGTGAGCATGCTTCAACTGAGGCAGGCTCAGCATACTAACCTTTTTAATAACAAAGCAATTGAGTGCAGAGTTGTCAGTTCCTTTCCAACAAAAGATTTAATCCTTCAATCTTACACCTACCGTGATGTGTGATATCATTTTCTCATAATGCATTATTCCTAACCTCAAAATTTATGGAAAAAAAACTGATGCCAGAAATCAGAAAAACAAACAAATTGCTGGAAAAACTCAGCATCTGTGGAGAGAAAGCAGAGTTAATGTTTCAGGTCCAGTGACCTTTTTTTCATAACTGATTTCAGCCAGGAAAAGGTTGGTATATGTGCTGAAGATGTGTTTGGGTGGTGGGGGGGTGCGGTGGAGGGAAGGAGTAAATGATTGGTGGACATGGAGCCCAGAAAGAGAGAACAACAATTCGGCTGACAAAGGAATGGTAATGGTCAGCCTGCGAGAATCAATAGCTGCTGATTTGGACCATTAGTAGCTGGTTGTGGCAGCAGCCACTTTGGTTACAAGACCTGGTGTCTGGGATTTGGGGTGAGGGCATGGGCGAAGATGCTCAGGCCCTAAAATTATTGAACTAAATAATGAAAGTCCTTCAGGGCTGCTACCACAACCAACCCATTAGTTGTCCCCAGCCAATAGCAACTCCTGATCCTTCACAGGCTGATCTTTACGCATTCCTTTGCTCAGCTTTTTTTTGTCTTTCTGGGCTCCATTTGTTCCTATGATTTACTCCCTACCCTATCTTCAGTAGATACGCCAACTTCTTCCTAGCTACAATCAGTTCTGAAGAAGGGTCAAAATTTATCATCTCCTGCATCCTGTCAAGTTGTTCACATTGGTCCCATTTAACCTTTATTTTGTAAAGCACATTGTTAATTTAAAATTGCATGCATCTTCTTAATTAATTTCCTAGCTGGTTTCATGTGTTGCTTCAATATTTTTATGTAATTGCATTGTGTACTTAAATGATTTGTATTGTGCAGCTGTTTTGTCACTTGCTATATTCCTGGATTTGTAAATGTCACCACGATTATCCAAATAAATTCAATCAGAAATGCAGTAATACATAAATAGGGGTCAATGTATAATAGACTAAAATGCTTTGATTTTTTAACACCGATTGAAGGAAATTATTTTCATGAGATCATCCCTTGAACACGGGAATGAATTGATAATCCAGGGTAAGGACTACTTCCAGCATGTTTGTAAATCAAAATAGTCTGCCCTTTTTCCTTCACTTAAGTAGACAAAGGTGTGAGTGAAAACAGCAGCTAGTAAATGTGAGTATTTTTATGGCTGTGCACAAAAGGGGTGAATGAAATGAATTAGCCACAGGAACAAGTACAAATAAAAACTGAGTACTGTTACTTATTGCAAGTAAGTAAATTTGAATAAAATTAAAGCTGACTACCAGATCGGTATGATTTTCAGTGTTCTTGAAATCCAGTTGCCAGACAATGTGAATTTGTCTCTGACTCAAAGCGGTTGTGAAACCAATGAGTAAACCTCTCCCTGGTTACCCAGCCTGACTTACTGGCATACTAGTGAGGGGGTCCCAATGGTGTTTGGGAAATTTTCTTATGGGGATGAACACTGAGGTTCTGCTGGAAGAGGAACTACCAGCCAGAGCTGATTAACATGGTTTGGATTGTAGATTTCCCATGCAAGTTAAAATGAGGATGCCTTTGGGAAAAATAAATTGATTCTTACGTCACTTCAGAGTATACCCAAAGGCCTTCAATATAATATAGTCATCAAGAAATCCAACATGGAATTCAGAAGAAACGTCTTTACCTGAGAATTTGTAACTCCATACCTGAGTGGTTGAAGTGAGTTGTGTAGATGTATTTAAGGGGAAACTGGAAAAGCATTTGAGCAAAAAGGATATAAAAGATTACAATGAGAGCTTTAAGAGGAGAAAAAAAGGACGAAGGCTTGTCTGAAGTATGGACTTGGATTGGTTGGGTTGAATGGTCTGTTTGTGCCATACACATACTATATATCTTTGCTTTATTATGAATTATCAATTTTAGAGAGCTGCCATCAATTAAGATTAGTTCAGACTGGTTTACAATCAACTAGTTTAATAATTCCCTTTTTGGTTAGATCCTACTATTAGTCTGACATTATCATGTTAAGAGAGCCACATATAACTAAACTCAATTCTAAGGCTGACTGCTTGTTGTCACTGATGACAGGATCAACCACCTTCATATCATACTAGAGAAAATAATTATTATAAGACTTGACTAATCTCTATTTTGATCAGTGCCCAGTTCAAGCAGCCAGCACTTTAGTGTTGCGCAGTCGTCGTATCATTCTCCCAAATTCATGTAGCAAATGCAGTGGGCATACGCAGGAAAAGGTGCATTTAAAAAGATTTCACTGCACTGAACATGAAAATGAACAATCTTGTCATTAAATTTGTACATGCAGTAGAATGTAAGCAAGTTGGAATAATTAATTTTGCAGGATCATTCAACTTTGAGTTTCAGCAGTCTTGGGGTTCATACATCTTGGAAATCCAAAGGTGTTTTTAATGCAGACTGTGTAATTACCTCCATAAAACTGGAAAATCATCCCCTCAAAACAAGGTCAGATTCTTTTTCTGGAAAGAAAATTTTTAATGAAGCATGATTCCACACAATAGGTGACATTGTGACTCTGGGAAAGTATCATCAGTGACAACTTTAGCAAATGTAATTTGATTTTTTTTCTAGAAAAGCAATACTTACTGCAACCTATAAAATTGTTTTCCTTTTACTCCAGGCATGAAATGCAGCAGTTACTAAACGTGACAGAGGATCTCATTATCACCATTGCCATTAGATTTGGAGGACTTCATTTCATGGAAGCTATCAACTGAATTTAAAGTGGAGAAAGAAGTCCCATCAGTCAAATCATTATATAACCACAACTTTCAGGGAGATGGGGAAGTAAGGGGATAAAAAGTTACAATTTCATCTCTCCAAATGTAGCAGCCCCTTAGCCAAATATTTAGTTTTTGTCTGATTGGCTAGATTTCTTTTGAAATCTTTGCAATGGATTGTATGGAGAATGATAAGAGAATGATGCATGTTGAAGGGAAAGGAAGCCAAGAGGGTCTTTTTTAAAAAAAAAAAATTGCTTTAAGAACTGGCTTCAAAATATTGCATTTTTTCACCATAATGAAAAACATTGACCACAACTTTGTTAGCACTTCCCTTTTTGGTGAAAACCAAATCTAAATCTGTTTTTCATTTTATGATGGATTTTGTGTTTTGAGTAAAGAGGTGACATGAATATGAAGCTACTGCTAGGTTGAAGGAAATTCACACAGAAGGTTGAAACAGGGTTTGATAGGTGAGCAAAGAAGACTTTGAAGTTGATCAGTGGAATAGGGTCAACTTGCGGGGGTTTATTGAATTGGTGTAATTGTGTAGGTTTAACAGAGGTGTTACATGTTGCATTAAGAAAATAAAATATTTCAATAGATTTGGGCAGAATAGTTCAAGTTATTCAAATGTGAATGAAAATTTTACTGGAGAGATGACATTTAACTCATTTTTGCCGTTTTGTATATTTACCCTGTTCAATTTTGGATTTTATTGATTGTGGAATGCTGACTTAATTTTAACATTATTGGGATGCTTTGCAGCTTATGGCCCACTTCAGTTTTTGTACATTCAAAACCAGCATGAAAAAGGTGACATTAGTCCAGGACCAGTCTTTATAAGGAAGAAGCAAAAACAGGCGTGTCCTTTCTTTCTGCTTCCACTCTGCCTGTCCCCACCCCCCAAATCAAAGAATTCAAGGTGCTGTTCCAGTGCGACAAGTTTATCTATGTATTTTGAACTATTGTACATCTTTTTACACAAAATGTTTTGTTGTGTAAAGTTCTAGTTGATTTTTACTTCTTGCAATTGAGTTACAGACTGTGTATTTTCAACCCAATGCCTAGAAAACACATTTTAAAACAGTTTTTTTCTTCATGTGCTTACAAGTTAGTGGAAGAATTGAGTTTATTTTGCTTAAGTAATATCTGGCATGTACAGTATGTATCCATCATGTCTAACAATCTGTTAGTTTGACTTTTAAAACATCTTTTTGTAGCAGAGCTGTTGGGGGTGGGTGGGATTGATTCTGAAGCAGTGCTTTTCTTCAAATACTAAAGTACCTGAAGGATGAACTGGAATAGCATCAGTTGCCAAAACAATGTAATTGGGTGGTATGAACACAACATTTGCAGTTAATTCTTGTTTGTTGCCAAAGGGTTGAAAAATAGAGGTCTCCAAGTCCAAGAGCTGTTTGTGACCTTTAATTACTTTTCTTTGGTGTAGTATGTGCTGCAGATGACTGCTTTGAAGAAACAGCAAGCAAGATCTACCATTCTGGTTGTAGATATTACTGTTCAGATATCTGGAATCTTCTGATTATTAGTGACAATTGTGTTTGTACTATCATGTGCCTTAAACTTTTCATGGTAGGAAAAGATAATGTGTTTTTATATATAATATATATATTACTCATAGCCTAACTGTAGTTTATACTGGTGGATTTTGCATTGCATTACACTGTATTATAAATTACACTTAACAATGACTTATGCTTTCTTAGAACCATGCTACAGTGACCGAATGTATTATGTTTAATTTCACTAATATCCTGCAGCAGGTAGAAAGTTTGTTAAACCAGGTTTGTAGAATTATCAACTTGGTGTGTTTTCAATAAACAATGCCTGAATATGATTTTGTGTGTTTCTTCAAACTATCCCTCAGATCTGTGCTGCCCATTTGTACAAATAACTATCCAGTGAGTCCACTGGACTTTTTGACCAGCAATTAATCCGTTTCGATGTAAAACCAGATTTTGAACCTGATCCTGCGTGTGTGAAAGTGCTGTTAGGTTATAAGTCTGGAATTCCCTTCCTATTAACAAATGAAGGCACAGCAATGTAGTTCCAAGTGAACATGGTGTGTAGCTTGGAAAAGGAACTGCAGCTGCTGGTGTTCCCGTGTATCAGCTGCCCTGTCCTGGGTGGTAGAGATCACAGATATGGAAGGTGCTATCAAAAAAGGCTTGGCAAGTTGCTGTAATGCATTGGGCATATGCTGCATATTGCTGCCACTGTGTAACAGCAGTGGACAGAGTCAATTTTTAAGGTGGATGAAATGTCAATTAAGCAGCCTACTTTGTCCTGGATGATGTCATGTGGTATTGGAGCTGAACTCATCCCAGTAAATGGAAAGTACACCATCACACACCTGACTTGTGCATTGTAGATAAGAGACTGGAAATGAGTTATTCAATCTAATTCTGAGCCTTGACACATGGTTTTGTAGTTATCATATCTATATGGCTAGTCCAGTTCAGCTTTGAGGTCAGTGGAAACTCCTAGGATATTGATAGTGGAAGATTCCACAATGATCCTGCCATTGAATGTCAATGTGAGATATTTATACTTTCTCTTGTTGGAGATAGTCATTACCTGGCATTTCTATGGCATATATGTTACGTTCTGTTTTTATCCAAAGCACTGAATGTGGTCCAGGTCTTGCTGCATATTGACATGGATTGTATCAGTATCTTAGGAATCGTGAATAGTGCTGAACATCATGCATTTGATGAACATCATCACTCCTAACCTTATGATGTAGGTAATGTCATTGATGAAGCACCTGAAGTCAAATAGCCTCAAACGCTACCCTGTGAAATCCCTGCAGAGATGTCCTTGGACTGAAATGATTGACCTCCAACACTGTCAAATGCTGCCTTGCTGTCAATCTCACTGTCTCCTCACCTCCTGGAATTTATATCTTTTGTTTGCTATTAGACCAAGACTGTAATGAGATTAAAGCTACATCTTCTTGGTCTCACCCAAATTGAGTGTGAGCTGGTTGTTGTCATGCGAGTGTCCTTGATAGCATTGTCAGCAACACCATTATCAATTTGTGATGACTCAGTACATTAGAGTAATGGGACCTTAACTGGCTGGGTTACATTTGTTCTACTTTTGTGTAGAGGACATTTGTCCAGTGCCGATGCAATACGATTTTTGGTGTCAGTTGTAGATAAAACCATTGAAGGCAATGCTGCAGAATATCAAGAAGAGCAGTGGAGCTTTTCCATGCTGCAAAAATTTTATACCAAGCTTTAAATGAATGCACAAAGATTCCCCTCTCATAATGTAAATCAACTGATGGACCTTGTATACAAGCAAGAGTTTTTGAAATTAGATTAGATTATTGGGGGGAAAAAAATCAGCTTGAAGTAAGTTATCTTAACATGTTAAAGAAATCTTGATTGAAGTTGTATGCAAGATGCAATTTTCCCAGTTGACTAACCTGAGCAAAAACAACTGCTGTAATGCCAAAAAAAATCAATTGGTGACAGGACCGACTGATTAACCTCACATTTCCAGACTTCAATCTTACCATTGGTCCTGAAAAGATGCTCCTGTTAAGGTGTGCAATGAATACAAATGACCTTTTCTGATGAATACTAACTAGAGATTTTAATAATATACATTCTGTGTTTGCCAATAAAATGGCACAGAAGAAGAAAATCATTTTAAAGAAGTTAAAGGTTTGGGAACAATTAATTCATCCAAATTCAACCATTTTGATCAAGTAGAAACTTAGTTAAAATGGAATTTTGTCACCTTTCATCTCTCTGCCTTATTTTGCTTGTCTACGCATTTGTCATATTGAAGGTGTCTGTAATGGGTTTGTGTTTACTTGAGTACTTTGTCCGGTATTCTGGTGTTATGATCCCAACTGATATTATGTGACAAGTTATCCCAAATAAGAACATGGCTTAATATGTTATATTTTGACTTATTTTGGTTTTAACAAGGTGGTCTCTTGCTAAAACATAAGCATGCGATGCTGTAGATTATCCATTAACAGCAAAATAGTTTAACAATGTCATGTATGTCCATGGTGTTACCATGCTGAAATAAGGTGCATGAAAACCACAACCCTGATCAGATTTCTGCTGTAGATCTCAAACATGGGCTATTGCAAAGTGCCCAGTTGTACCTCAAATTACCCTAGAAGGGTTAGGTATACGAAAATTTTGATCATTGGGTGAAGCTAATTACTTTAAGAAAATATACATTAGCAACACGAATGATGCTATAGAGTCATAGAGTCATACAACCTGGAAACAGAGCCTTTGGTCCAACCAGTCCAGGCTGAACATAATCCCAAACCAAACTAGTCTCACCTGCCTGCCTCTGGCTCATATCCCTCCAAACCTTTCCTATTTCTGTATCTCCCCAAATGTCTTTTAAACATTGTAATCATACCTGCATCCACCATTTCCTTAGGGATTTCATTCCACATGCAAACCACCCTCTTTTTTTATAAAAAGAAAAAAAAATTGTCTCTTTTTTTTTAAATCTGTCTCTTCTAACCCCCTTGGTGCCCCCTTGTCTTGAAATCCCCATTCTAGGGAAAAGACAACTGCCATTAACCCTATCTACACCTCATTATTTATAAACTTCTTTCAGGTCACCTCTTAACCTTCTACACTCCACTGAAAGAAGTCCCAGCCTTTCTTTATAACTTAAGCCTTCCATACCCAGCAATATCCTGGTAAATCTCTTCTCAACCCTCTCCAGCTTGATAATATATCCTTCCTATAACTGTACGACCTCAACATGACTTCCCAACTCCTATACTCAAAGGACAGATGCTACTATCAAGCCAATAAGCGAGTCTGCTTATGACACAAATCTAATATATAGTGTATAGATTTCAGTGGCAGTAACAATACCAGCTATATGGGCCATACATTGCAAAGTTTGACATTTGCATCAAATAGCATATCCGTTCGGCTGTTCTTAACAAGCAAAACACTAGCCATGTTTAACCAGACTGCACTTGCAAAACTCAAAAGACAATGTCCAACATTAGATGTGATTCTCTGATTGGACAACAGTTACTGAATAACCTTGAGTGTGTGAAGAACTCTCGACCAATTTAAGATTATCAGTCTGGCTTGTATTGTTATGCACTTGTACCAGAAGCTAACCATATTAATAGATGCTGTTTGCAGACAGTGACTGGCTCATTTCTCAGAGCAACATTTGACCAATCAGAATCAACCTATTGGTTTAAAATTTACAGCTTAGAAGTTAACTTTTGGTCATGATGTAACTGGTGCACTGTTTAGGTGTTGCCGTAGACAGTTGGAATCCACTTGCTAACCAATCCGCAAACGTTTCCCATATAACTGCTGTTTTCTTTTTCCATTGGTATTCTTGCAAATTTAGCCTGACGTGTACAAGATGCAAAGCTTCAACAAAATCTTTCTTTTCCTTTAACAATATCAAAGGTGATATCATTATTCCTGCCACAGATTCTGCTGTTCACCACTCATTTAATTTCATTCCCTCCTTTAGTCACCGGTAAATCAAACAAATTCATAATCTTGATTTCCTAGCACGTATAAAGTTGAGCTGTAACACTATAGTTTACCATCTAGACCATTTTGTAACTTTGCCCGACTGTTACTAAAACACATACAGTACAGGATTTTGGAGATGGGAACTGCAGACGCTGGAGAATCTGAGATAACAAGGTGTAGAGCTGGATGAGCACAGCAGGCCAAGCAGCATCAGAGGAGCAGGAAAGCTGACGTTTCGGGCCTAGACCCTTCTTCAGAAAATTTTCTGATGAAGGGTCTAGGCCCGAAACGTCAGCTTTCCTGCTCCTCTGATGCTGCTTGGCCTGCTGTGCTCATCCAGCTCTACACCTTGTTATCTCAGTATAGGATTTTGACATTTTTGGATTATTACTTATTATTTGCTTATTGACAATTACATTACTTGCACCTGTCTGTGAAATGTGGAGGGATATATCTTCATGTTAAAGGGTCTAACCAAATTGTGGTGGTTTTTCAAAGTAGTAAGTAAAGAATCTGTTGACTGCACCATTTATTGAAAGAGGAAATTAATTTCACAGCAGATTACTGGGACAAATGTTGTCTTGCTGTTCTGAATTAACACGTAATACATTGTATGTAAAGAAGCATCTCTAAATTAGTGTTAAACATGCATTTATTAGAAGTGTACAGTTTTAAGTTGGAAAGATTTACATACACTACACAATTAGAGAAGAATTTGAACAGTACATAGAACAAGATGATAATTGTAGCTGTTGTCCTTTTTGCTATTCCCACGTAATTAACACATCAATTACTTTTCATTCCTGATCTTTTCTGTTTAACCATCAATAAAAATATTACATATAATGTAACTTTAGTGCATGTAGTAATTATTCTTTACCATCCAAACTGGCGAGTTCTTAATTTAAATTCTTTCTGGGAATACTAAGATATTGGTACCCTGCCACCAATTGTATTCGCTTACACTGGCTGTGCAAAATGATTAGTATCTGTATAAGGTCCAGCAGAAGCTTCCAGCTTCACACCTTAATATGTTGAAAAACAACAATGTCCATAAAGGACATGTAAATTATAAGGTCAGTAATTTTGTGGTAAAAGTATTTTTATCCTAACATTGTGTCCTTTTCCAGAATTGGATGACTCATAATTGGGTAATATTACCTTTCTACCAGAAGCTGTATGAGAGTCTACATTTATGCCCTTCTGACAATGGAGAGGTTATCACAAGTGAACCTGTTGCTATTCTGAGCCAATGATGCCACAGACCATATGCCATAAGTCTCTTTATCTTTTAGTTCTAAAGCATAGGTTCTCAGACAGGAAAATCTGTATTTGTTAGATTATTTAATGATGCTTAATGTAAAAGCACACTTTCTGCACTTAAAGCATTATTCACATTTTGGTTGTTTCAGTACGTTTTGGTTTAAATCCGAGTTTTCCCTAACCTTTTAAGTATGACAATGTAACAATATTGTGTTGGCCAGAGAGAGATTTTTGCAGCAATCATGGAAGTTTTCAAATCATCTTTTGTTTAAACTTCACTTTTCCTGTTTCATTTCATCTTTGAAACTGATTAGGGCACCATGAGATGCTAGACTCCTCTAACTGACTTCTTGTCGTCATTTCAATCAAATGCAAAGCATTACACCTTGACTAAGACTGATTTTAATAGGCTTCTAGTTACAATGACTTACTTTTGATTTTGCTAAGATTAATGGATCTTTTTCACATTCCACCTATTTCACCAAGTTTTCTTTCATATAATCCATAATGTTATTACATCCTTTTATCTTAATGATAATGATTTAAGCTGGGGTAATTTGCCAATAACTTCTTCCTCCTTCCCACCCGCAAGCACTTCACCTTCAGTTGGTTTTCTTCCCTTGTGTGCAGACTCTGCACATCATAAGACCATCAATCTTGCAGGACATCAGAGATGGTCACCCTCTCTTGTGTTTGTTGTCACTGAGAAGGAACACTGGCCGTGAATCCCGCAGCCCTAAGACCAATTGTTGAACATCTAGCACCTCTCCAGCTGAACTCTAGGAGACATTTGGGATGACCTTATTTTTGATGGTGCAGTATAAATTTAGATGGCACATTTGCCAACGAAAACACTGTGGAATCTTAGAGTATTCTGGTACCTGTTAAGTTTTTATACATGTAATTTCTAACAAATCACACCATGTAACTTGGGGCATTAGGGATTGAACTTCTGCAGATTTACTCCACATGGTGGTTTCTGTTGCTACAAGTACAAGTCTAGATGAGTTCAGTTAGTTTGAATTTTTTTACATTGTTTTTGCCAAATTAGGGCAGTTTGCTCTATGATGTTCTAAATACAGACTGAAGTAGTCAGTGCATTTTCCACGCCAGACAAAACAGGGCACCAATGGCAATTTCAAGAAACTGACTTCAACTGTGGCAGTAAAATGCAACTATGTTCCTCCAAGATTGCTGGTGTGCATTTCTGGAATACTTTTATTCTGTTTTGCAAATTAATGCCATCAATTGAATTAACATTATTGGTCTCAGTAATTGGATGTTGAAAATAAAGCAGATTTAAATTTTAAAAGAAACTGAGGGAATTATTTGACATCAAATTAACAAAATAATTATTTCAATGGAAGTGAATAAATTTATATCTTTAGAATTCAAATATTAATTAGTCATCAGTGATTTGCAGGTGATTCCTCCAATTATTCTAATACAGTTTCTTGGGTAAATTCATCTAATCCAAAATGCAGGGATTTTAATATTTAATCCTTGAAGTATTTGAAAACATTTTTGAGGTTTATGATGGATTAAGCACACACACAGGGCAAAGAAAGGTAACATGGAGTGTCCTCCTCCAAGAATCTCTCAGTTAATGTGCTGGTCCTTAAAGCAATTAGGGAGGCAAATTATATTTAGGTCTTTGTGCAGCGAGACTTCCTTACTCATACTTCAAACTCTTGCAATAATGTTTCACATTAACAAGACCATATCTGGACTACAGTGTACCGCTTTGGTCCTTAACTAAGAAAAAGATGTATTTGTCTTTAAAGTGTGAAACCAGGGATTACTGTCAAAGAAGATGTTAAGATTCTCTGGAAGAATGAGAAGTGATCTTATTGAAAAGTATCACATTCTTATAAGAGTAGAGACTGAGAGGTTGCTTTTGCTGGCTGGATTGTTTAGAAAGAGTTCTGCTCTTCTATAGAATTCTCTTCCTATTTGAGCTGTGAATCCTCAGTTCTTGAGATTTGATGGACTTTTACACTAACAGTATTAAGGGATGGCACGATAATGCAGGAAAAGGCTATTTGGATTTTTAAAAATCAGCTGTAATATCAAATGATGGAGCAAGTTCAAAGCCATTTGCCGTAATCCTTAATGTTATTACGTAACATTACAAACTATATTCTAGCGAAATACTGTTGGTGTCAAAAGATGCTTCCCTCTTTCTTCTTCTCAGCTTTATTTTGGAATTTAAAATGAGTACTATAATTCAATTGAAGGATTTGAGCAATGTTTTGTCCTGCAAAGAAATACACTGAAGTCGCTCTTCTGGTGTAGTTATTTTTCTCCAGACTTGAACTGAACGTTTTTTTATATGGATTGTTAGTGTTTTATTTTATTAAAGAAAGCAATCCGTGCACAGCTGTAAATGACTTGTTTAATGTCAGGGGATTGCCTCCATAAAACCTTTTGAGACAAATGGATAGTAGTACTCTTTTTTTATTTTCCCTAAAATCTTTCAAATTTTTCTCTTCCAAATTCTCTGACCCATATTGGAAAGCAGTTCCACTCATGTTGGCACCCTTGTCGAGAGTCAAAGGGATGTGTGTCGTGCTATTTATGAATAGAATCGCAACCAGGCCAGATGCTCTGACATGCTCTTCCTACCAAGAGCATTGGCTGACTTATGCCTTCACACTTCCCTTTCTCTGTAACTTCCATCAGCCCTACGTCCTTTCAACTCTCCACCTCTAAATCTGATCTGTTGTGAATCTCCACTTAATGATTCAGATCTCTGACTCCATTTACATCAGACTCAAAACTGCAACATCACTGCTTTGACACAATTTGAGCACAAGGAGTTATGCTTACAAATTAATAGCAGAAGGAGCTACAAGGACATACATGAAAGCATGCTATGGACAAATTTTTAGCGACAAATTTTAAAACACTTGGAAAGGAGGGGGACAAGAATAAACTTGAAATTTCAAGAAAGAACAAAACAGGTTCTTGTGAATTGTGCAGGTTATTACATAAGCACCAAGGCTATACAATGGATGAGTTCTGCTAGATAGGCCCAAAAAGTCCACATGAAGTGAGGGATGAGAGCTTTTTGGATCACTTCTTATTACACAAACACTGACATCTTATTTAGTTTCTCAGCATTTTATGTGTTTAACCTTTAAAAATAGCCTTTTCCATTCCATCTTTAAACTTTGTATATTCCAAATTTGAGGCATAGAATGCGCACTCATAGCGGGGATTGTTGCGTACGTACTGTAGAAATTCTGGGGCTCCAGGTGTAATTACATTGTCTGCCAGAAGAACCGTGCCTTTTCTCAACAGACCACATTCCTACAGGCAAGGCAAAGAGTTCAATAGTTAATGAATGCACAATTTGAGAATTAGTTTAAAAATTTTGGAACTTACAGCTGCTATGCACCAGAGTGACAAAAGAAAATGCTGATTAGTACAGCTCAATTGTCTGCCAGGCCCAGAATTATCAGCTAAACAGCTCTGTACACCATTCTTGACAATAGCTTCATTGATTCAAGGCTGCTTGGTACTATCCATATGAAGCACCATGTGCTGTTCTCAAAACCTTTTATGTCAATAGTATGATTGGTTTCTGAAGTCTGTTTTGATTTAATCTGTCACTTGTCCATGTAACTTACTGTTATGAACTTGTACATAGTGAGGAATATACAGAAATCGACTCCAAATCAAATCTGGAATTAACTAAGTTACTGGTTCTGAAGAAGGGTCCTGACCCAAAACATCAACTTTCCTGCTTCTCTGATCCTACCAGGCCTGCTGTGTTCCTCCAGCTCCACACTGTGTTGTCTCAGTTTCTAGCCTGGAGCAAGTTTACTTATTCTTCCTTCATCCTGTAGCCAAAGCTTTAAATCTTTATCAATGTCTATTCGACAAACACCCTCCAAAACCACATCCTAGTCCTTGTTATTTGTATTTTGGGTCTCATTAGTATATGGGCAAGATACTTGATTGCAGGGGAAATTCTCAGACTGGATATCAAAAAAACACATAACAGGCAATGTTTGAGAAAAAAGTGAAGATACAATGCAACAGGCAATTAGACACCCCATAAGGAAGGAATAGCCTAACACACAAGTGATATGATGTACTTCCATGGCAAGAATAAACTTGAGCGAGTTGATCAGTTGGTGTCAATTTTATCATGTTATCTCCTTAGTCACATTTCAGGCATTGAGGCTTGCTGGGGTATAGTTGCATTTAGCTTCCTTTATGGCATCAAGCCAAATACAATTCTAGACGTTAGTCATAAAAGAATTCCAGATGAAAAATTACAGGATAAATCTGCCCTTGCTAATCTGAAACCAGAAATGGGATTTAAGTTTTAATTATTTCTGTGGTGTATCTCTAATTACAACAATTTGTATTTATGCAGCAGCCCTGCCAAAACAAGAGCTAGTTCTGTGGCAGTCACCAATATATATGCAGAAACATCCCAATGGCTTGTGGCAATGAAGAGATGCCCATGTTCCCAGCACTTCATTCTTAGCTTCATGGAAAAGCTTGCCATAATTTCCCCTCAAGTTTCAAGAAGTTGCTGCATTTGCACATGAACTGGCCGTTAGACGTACCACAAAACATTCTTTCACAAAAAACCTCTACTTATATAGAATTTTTATATAAGTATCAAAAACTACCAGTCAAACTTTCCAGTCTAGAAGGCTAGCAGTCAAAGCATTGATCTTTTAAGTGGTGAATTCCTAGCAATATTAAACATATTAAATGTTTAATTTTAATGTTTTATTTATTTTCATTCGTATCTTCTCTTTCCCTATCTTATTTTGTTTCTGTACCTGATTTTGACATTAATTCATCTGTTCTTCTTATCCTTCGTTTTCTGTGATTTGTTTTTCTTCCTTGAATGTTAAATCTCATTGATTTATGAAGCTGTATGGTCAGTTCTTCATTCATTAACATTAACAATTCCCTGTTGTTCTCTGCTTTATTATCAGCTTGCATTTCCAACAATTTATGAAATGAAAGGTCCTGCAGCTAATTTAACAATCAAATCCTGCTCCACATTCCAGGCGACTATTATAAACATTGTAAGTACTGGTATGGTACATCAATATCTTCAAAGCCTTCTAATTTACCAGATCAGCACATGAGTATGGCACAGCTGCATACTCTCCCTGTTTCCTTTCCTCATAATTACTGACTTTGTCAAGTAAAGGCAATGGTTGGTGCAGATCCTGAGGCAATGCCACTATTGGCAGACCTGTGTTTAACACATCATTGCTTTGCTGACTGAAGAATTATGCACACTCCAGGGCATGACCATCAATCTTCTCAGCAGTGGTGCCAAGGCTGGTCCGTGCATCAGCTATGAAAACACCAAGTCAATGATGACTGGACAGCAACAAGGCGTCCTTCTCACCTTCAGGCAACAGAATGTCCAGGACACTGATCGTATCCATGTCTGAGAAACAACACCTCCAGGGAGAGTGCTATAGAGATTGACCATACAAGAATCAGCAAGGCAGCATCAGTCTTCTGGTAACTCCATTACAGGCATCTAACACCATCAACATAGCCACAAGGTTGTGACTTTAAATGTACATTGTGGTACCAACTGCCATCTATGCCAATGAGGCTAAGAACAGCGAAGGTGTCACTTAAGTCGTACATCTTCCTCCAGTGCTGCCTGTGTAAGGTGCTGAGCATCATCAACGAAGAATTTCTGCACAGGACTGGTCAGAGATGGCTTGTAAGAGAAATAACCAATACTTAACAGGACATGTATTTTGTCCCTCAGACATGCGCCCTGCCAGAATGGCAACACAATGGGTACCAGCTGGAGAAAGAAGACCTGACAGAAGTACCTTTAAAGAGGACCTTTGAAAGGGGACACTGCTTGGGTTGGAATAAAGAGATGTCGATGGAAGAGTCTTGCTGCTGATTATTCTGCTCAGGAATGAAGGAAGTCTAAGGAACAAAGTCTAAGCAAGACATCTGTGCTATATGATGCAACAGAAGGGTAGCTAGCCACTAAAGCAAGAACAGATGCCTCTTTGTTAATGTATATTCAGCAGATTGAACATCAAGCATGGGGCTTCCTAGGCACCTATCAGCCATTTTTAGCATCTGGGCAACTGGGTGGCCCTCAATTATGCAGCACAGTTTGAATTTGGAATACCCCATACCTTGCACTATCAAGATCATTACGAACCATTAATACTATTAAGTGTTTCACTTTATTTTGTTTTGTTCCTGATTTACGACATCTGCAGTTCTTTTGGTTTTCACTTTATTCAGTTGATTTAAAATTAACTACTGTACCTTATTTACAGTGTCTAAGTTCTTATCCACAATATTACTCTATATTTGAGCATTGAGAGTAAGTGTGATACATCGGCACTCTATACAAAATTTGCAGGCGTTAGAAGAAGGAGCAAATCAAATGATAATTGCCTAATTTGTGGATGAAGTTCGATGTGAAGAAGTATGAGGTGATAAACTTCAACACAAAGAACATGGGAAATAGCATATAATAAGTGGTGAATTGGAGCAGACAGACCTGGGTGTAGATGTACATAAATCATCAAAGGTGGCAGGACAGGTGGAAAGAGCTGTTTTATTTCTTTTAAGTACAGTATTCTGTGCTTCACTGATAAGCCCATAGGATGCAAGAGCAGGGTGGTTATGTTGAATTTACATAAGACACTGGTTCGACCTCATCTGAAGTATTTGTACGGTTCTAGGTGAATGCATTGGAAGAGTGCAGAAGAGGTTAATGAGAATGGGGTTCCAGTTATGAGGATAGTTTGGAGAAGTTGGGACTGTTTTCCGTGGAGAGGGGAGGCTAAGAGAAGATTTGATCGAACTTTTCAAAATCTTAAGTCCACACAGAGTAGACAGGGAGAAATTTATTCAACCCTATTAAAAGTATTGAGAATCAGAAGACACAGTTTAAAGTCTTGCACAAAAGAAATTAGAGTTTTAAAACAAAACTCTCTCACAGCACATGGTTAGGGTCTGGAATGTGCTGTCTTGAAGTGTGGTGGAGCAGGTTCAATCAAGGCATTTGAGAGCATTGGATAATTATTTTAATAGAAACCTTTATACAGGATTACAGGGAAAGGCAGGACACTGGCACCAAGTGCTCAGAAAGCTGGCGCAAACGCGATGGACCAAATGGCTCCCACCTTCACCATAACAACAGTTCCGTGATTCTGCTTCTGTTCCTTGTCAACTTTGTGAGATACTGAGCTGAAGAACACTGCGGCAGGGCAGAATGTTTTTACTTCATGAGAAAAAGGAATCTAGCATCTAGTTCACTGCTCTTGTTCCAATTCCACCAAAAGAAAATAATTTGGGCTAGAGTATAAATCAGAACAATGAATTACCAGGTGTAAAGTTTTGAGCTCTGGATGGAATATAATCAGTACCTTTTGTAACTGGTTTATACTAAAAAGCAATAAAAGAATTGTCTGTTTCAAGTAAGTTAGCACCTGGTAAATGGGTCTTGTAATTCTGTCGGGTAAGAATCATCCTGACCTCCCCCATTGCTGTTAAATCTGTAGTTCATAAGTGTTAACCAAGTATTTCCTTTGTAGTCTCCTGTTAACGAAGGATGTGATAAGCAATGTAGATATCATTACTTCATGATTTAGAGATGACAGATTCATCCTTGGACTGTGGCCTGTTTCTCTCAAATGGATTAAGAATGTATTTCACTGTGATTTGTTTCCTTTACAGAGTAAAATCATAATTATTTTAAGTTAAAATAGATATCCTTTGGCATTGGCCCACAAGTGAGTTGGAGGATAAACCATTTATGATGAGAAGATTGCAACATTATGCAATGTAATTATTTCAGGATACAATTGCGACGACTTAGATTTCTGGGCATGTATAGTAACGTGATAACCATTCCAATAGCTCATTCTCTGGGTCTGCCCATTCTGGACTTCTCCCAGCCCCAACTGTGCCACTACCTGAAATAATGAGGAGCTGAGGATCTAAAGTTCCTTTTTCAACACTTGTACGAATTTATCCTCTTGTTTTTGTGTTCCCAGATGAAAACTTGCATTCATATAGTGCCTTCACAATAGTGAAACCTCCGAAGGCTTTACAAGAGTATTATCGGACAAAAATTTACCACCTTTGCTAGGGGATGTTAGAATAGGTGACCACATCTTGGTCAGAGAGATTTTGAGGAATGATTTAGAAGGGACAGCGGCAGAAAGATTTAAGGAGGATATTTTGGAGCTTCCAAGCTATGCAGCTGAAGATATGGCAGCCAGCAGTGGGATGAAAGTTGGATGGGTTTATGAAGCAAGGTTTGGAGTACAGTAGGAATGTCAAGGTTGGGTGGTGTTTGTAGGCTGGAGGAGATTGTAGAGAAGGAGGAGAATAGCCATTGAGGGATTTTAACATCCAAGGTGACTTTAATGGAATGACACTAAGTCATCTGAAATATCCAAGTTTTTGTCATCATGGCTTTTTGGATGTATACGACGAAGCTGTAGGCCATAATGTTTAGTTTAAGTATCTGTTCCCATTAATTGACCTATACTTAAAGTTGTTAGTTGATTTTGTTACATTGAGTTTTTAAGATTTATTATTAATGAGACAAGTATGAAAAGAGTCCTTTCTAGACATCTTGCTCTACTACACAAAGAGCAAGATAGCCAGTATCTACGATTTTCAACTACAGATATGATTGAATTGTGTGAAGCACTTGGAGCAGCTCAGGCTGCAGGTTAGACAAGCTTGTCCTATTGCGTTTTCTGACTGAATTATAAGTGGAGTTGGCAAGTCGTAGAGAATAAAAGGGTATCCCAAAAACTGATGGTGAAAACTTCCAACAAAGGCTTCAGCAAGTTAACAAAACTTCCGCATCTTCTTGGCAAGCTGTGCACAGGTCCCAGTGGTTGGGGATGCTCTCTGCAGCAAGCAGTCACAACTATGAATGGATTAGCTGTATCTGGGCTGTTGCTGGGAGCGTGCAGAGCAGATAATCCAGTCAGCAAAACTGAAAGGGCAGGGGCTTTAATTGAAATAGACTGCAGCCAAGTAGGAGGAACCATAGCATTTGTAGGGAAGATTAAAAGAAGTGTCAAAGCCAAACTCAGTAAATGACGTTTCAGTCGAGTTTTGCAAATTTAACCATAGCTCCGACAATAGCATTTGGACTCTGGATCACACGTCTTCCAAGGGTCATCAACGTTTTGGTTTATAACATTAATGTGAACTCTGAGTAACAATTAATATTTCATTTCCAATTCATTAATTTTTCACAGGTTTCTTATAAATGTTGTTTCCACTTGGCATTTTAGCTGTATCGACAAAATGAGCAGTTACAACTGAAAACGAAAACAGAAATTGCTGGAAAAGCTCAGCAGGTCTGGCAGCATCTGTTGACAGATATCAGAGTTAACGTCTCGGGTTGAGTGACCCCTTCCTCAGAACTCACAACTGAAACCAGTTTCACAATTTCTAGTCAGAGCAAAAGTACTGCAGATGTGGAAATTTGAAATCCTACACAAAGCACTGGAAAAACTCTGCATTTCTTAAACCCTATGAGTTCAAACTAACTCTCCTTTGGAAGTTCTGAGTTGAATGAGAAATTGCTCAAAGTGAGAATGAGTTCAGGCAGGTGAAGCAGGTTGGTAGTGGATGGGGACTGTTCAGACTTCTCTTTGAGGAAGAAGTGGAGAGCCTCCAGATTGTTCTGAGGGGAAATGGATGTATAGAGGGACTGAACATCCATTGTCAAGAGTCAGCAGCTGAGGCCAGGAAACTCAGAAGAATTCCAAATGTGATTGGGAAGAGACTGAAAGTGGAGGAGAGAAAATAGTATTGAACGAAGAAAAAAAAGTTCTATGGGCAAGGAACAGGCTGAAATGATTGGTCTACCAGGGCAGTTCTGTTTGTAGATTTTGGGAAGAAGGTAGAAGTGGACTGTGAGGTGGGAAGATTTGCAGAGGAGATAAGATTGGTGACAGTCCTGGAGATAACAGCTTGATGCTTGTAGGTTCGCAATTTCCAAAACAATTTGATTGATCATTCATTGTTGCACTCCAATTTGGCATTGGAAACTTTAAAAAATAATTATCAATTTTCGTGCTAAACAAGTCAACCAAATGCCCCTCTTTTTAAGATGCATGATACAACAGTGCAACTTTTTTGCATCGTTGAATAGATTTTTTTATACAAGTATTATTATGTACGGGCTGGAAATCTATATTGTCCTGTTTTTGAACCTAAAGTGGTGGTGCTCTGAGACCTCCAGTTGCCTTGCATTAAAACGTGCTGTGAAGACTGAGATGTCATATGCGTATGTTTATATGTGACTTGTCCATTTACTGACTTGTGACACTGCGTTCTCAACCTTTCCTTCAGATATGAGCTGCTCACTCTAGTTTATCTAAAGTTTTGTAATTGGTTATATAAATGCTCCTTCATGTGCTAAAATTAAAATAAAATGAACTCCAAATCACTGAAATGCACCAAATATAAATACTTTCTGAGAAAACACCCTCATATTCCTTGGATAATAATGGTGTGGTTGACTATTTTCTAAGTTTCTAAAGGTGCAGTGGGAAAGCAAAGGGAAACAGAGTTCTCACCTCCAGGAGTTGTGTGTCAGGCTGATATCTGTCCTTCCAGTGATCAAGAAAAACAAAATCTAAAGTGTCCACTTCTTGCTTCTTCTTCAGTTGTGGAATAATATCCCCAGATGAACCTTCTAAGATCGCCACCTTAATTCATTGGAGCAGAAAAATCAGAACTGCTTTAGAAAACAAATCTGGACCTGTTAAGACCAAAAGACACAGGAGCAGAAGCAGGCTTATTGAGTCTGCTCCACCATTCAATGCATTTTCCCCCAACCCTTGATTCCTTTACTCATTAAAATGCTGTTTTCTCCAAAAGATTTACCAGGATGTTGCCGGGAATGGAGGGTTTGAGTTATAAAGACAGGCTGGGACTTTTTTCACTGGAGCGTAGAAGGTTGAAGGGTGACCTTTCAGAGGCTTATAAAATCATGAGGGACATAGATACGGTGAATAGCACAGGTCTTTTCCCAAGGGTGGGAGTGTTCAAACTATAGAGAATATTTTTAAGGTGAGAGAAGAAAGATTTAGGAAGATCATGAGGGGTAACTCTTTTCCACACAATGGTTCATATGTGGAATGAATTGCCAGAGGAAGTGGTAGATGCAGGTACAGTTACAGTTACAACATTTAAAAGACATTTGGATAAGTACGTGAATCGGAAAGATTTGGAGGGATATGGGACAAACACAAGCAAGTGGGTCTAGTTTGGTTTGGGAACATGGTCAGTGCGGGCTAGTTGGACGGGAGGATCTGATTCCATGCTGTTTGACTCCATGACTGTATTTAAGGATCCAGCCACTGTGGCAAAGAATTTCATAGATTGACTTCACTCTGAAGGAAGGAGGAGAGGCTGGATAGGTTGGGATATTTTTCCCTGGAGCGATAAATCCTTATAATAAGGGGTAACTTTATTGAGGTTTATAAAATCATGAGGGGCACAGATAAGGTGAATAGCCAAGATCTTTTTCCAAGGGTAGGGGGGTCCAGAGCTCAAGAGCATAGGTTTAAGGTGAGAGGGGAAAGATTTAAAAGGGACCGAAGGTGCAACCTTTTCACATGGAGGGTGGTGCGTGTATGGAATGAGTTGCCAGAGGAAGTGGTAGAGGCAGGTACAATTACATTTAAAAGACATTTGGACAGGTGATGAATAGGAAAGGTTTAGAGGGATATGGGCCAAATGTAGGCAAATGGGACTAGTTAGGTTTTAGATACCTGGTGGGCATGGACAAGTTAGACCGAAGAGTTGGTTTCCATGTAGTATAACTCCATGATTCTTGTTGGCCGAGTGCTATAGCAAATGCAATTGATTTGTCCCAGGAATAAGAGGTTGAGTAAATGAGCCCTATATTCCCTGGCGTTTGGAACATTGAAAGATAATCCAACTGGAATATACAAGATTCTGAAGAGGTTTGACATTGTGCAGATCAGCAGATTGTTCCCCAGGCAGAGAACTAAGAATAAGGGGCACAATTTCAAGTATGCAGCAATCATTTACAACTGAAATGAGGAAAACTCAGGGTTGCGAATCTTTGGAAATCTCTACTTTGGAATTTTATGCATGTGTCATCGTTTCAATATGTTCGAAGCTGAGATTGGTAGATGTTTGCTGACTCAGGGAGAGGGGGGCTGGGTGGGAAAGTGGAGTTGAGCCCCAAGACTAGTCATGATCATATTGCAGAGCAGGCTCAGTGAGCTGAATAGTCTTTTGCTGCTGTTTTATCTCAGGTTCTTAAACCATGTCTTTAATACCACAGTGCCTACATGCCTTATTGAAAGCAATACTTTTCATTGGCTATAATTAAGGTTCTTTTCCAAAATTTAGTGGCTGGGTACTACCAATTGTTTTTCAGTGTGAGGTTTTTTTAAAAATGCCATTTGTATGGATATACTTGGTCTTTATCATGGAGCCACGCCTTCCACAATACCTTCTGTACAGACGGATGTCCAAACAATTTAACAGGACTATTGACTGTAATGTGTTTTGGGCTGTCTTGAGAATGTAAAGGGCAAATCTAAATCTAAATACAGATATTTTAATTAGGAGTTCCTCTGATCCTTGTAGTTTTTTTCAGTTCTTCAAGGATACCTGATCTAAACAATATTTACTTTACAGAAATTAGGTAATTCTAATAAATACTATACAGAGATAGAGCTTGTATGAAATTATTGAATTACTCCTCGATGCTTTGAGCCCTTTTACCTTGTCCTCAACTCCAGCGAAACGGAAGATCTGTTTTGCAATGCTTGCATTGGCTGGATTGAACTCGATGGTAAGGAAACGAGCACCAGGTTTAAGCACACAGATCATGCGCAAAGCCGAGTAACCACAATATGTCCCCAGCTCCAGCACAGATAATGGGTTTGCTTCTTTCATGACTTTGTCCAAGATTACACCTGCATATAAATGTGGTGTGCAGTTACAACACAAAGTTAATTTGGCCAGGCAGTCAGTGGCATTTATCTTCCACAAAAGCAAATAGTTCTAATCATATTTACCCAATTTGTGCTCGTATGTCTTCAACCTTTTGCCTTCATGCAGGTGTCAAATGAAAAAATGTAAAAGGTGTATCCACACAACTTCTTGCTATTGGCTACTTCCTTAGGCTAGGCAAGAAAACTGAGCCACTGATTGCTACTGTTCCTTTTATTCCATTTTATTCATAGGCAATGTGGATGCAACATTGGCTGAGGGATAGGTAACAGTGACAGTTGTTGGATATTTTTCAGACTGGAGGAACATTTGCAGTAGATTTGTTGTTTGCAATGCTGAGAGCTCAGTATTGAAACCCTTGCCTTTTCTGATCCATGTATATTAATTATATAGATCTTGGTCAGCAGGGCACAATTTCAAAGTTTGCAGATAAAACTCATGTAACCTATGAGGAGGACAGCATAGAACTTCAAAAAGACATGAACCAGTTGGAGTAGACAGATAGGTGACAGTTGGAGTACAGTGCAGACAAGTGTGAGGTGATGCATTTTGGTGTAAAGCAAAAGGGGGGATAGTATAAAACAAAGGTTGTGCAGGAGCAGAGACACCTTGGTGTACATGTGCATAAATCATTAAAGATGGCGGGACAGGTGGAGAAATTTGTTAAGAAAGCATACAGTATTCTAGGTTTCATCCATAGGAGCAAAGAATACAAGATTAGGGAGGTTGTACTGAACCTATATAGGTCAGACCTCAATTTGAGTATTGTGTATGGCTCTGGGTACCACAGTGTTGGAAGAATATGAATGCAATTGGAGAAAGTGCAGAAGAGGTTTATGAGAATGATTCCAGGGATGAGAAACTTCAGTGATGAGGATAAATGGGAGAGACTGGGGCTGATTTCCTTGGAAAGAAGAAGTCTTAGGAAATTTGCAAGTTTTCAAAATCATGAGAGGTCTGGACAGGGTAAACAGAGAGAAACTGTTCCCACCATAAAAAGGATAGAGAACCAGAAGGCACAGTTTAAAGTGTTTTGCAAAAGAAGTGATGTGAATATTTCTTTTTCATATAGCAAGTGGTCAGAGCCCTGGACTGCACTGTTTGAAAGTGTGGTGGAAGCAACTTCAATTGAGACATTCAAGAAGGCATCAGCTGATTGTTTCAATTGAAACAGTGTTATGGGGAAAATTCTGGGCATTAAACCAAAATACTTAGAAAGCTGGTGCGGACACACTGGGATAAATAGGTTCCTCTGCATCAGATCAATGTGATTCCTGAAGGGTAATGCCTTTGTGTGTGTTGAGCTGGCCATTGTGCTTATGAATTCAAAACAGGAAATTTGATCATGAACGATGTAATTTAATTTTCAATCAAAGTCCATATTGGATACTTTTTTCAGCAGATGGAATTAAATAATGGCCAAAAGTAGGGACCTTTGGTTGAATTTTCATCATCAAACTGAGCCCAGTTCAAGAGCACTAAAACCAATTTCCATTATTATAATCCTGAAGAGTTTCCAATTCCCAGTTCAGTTTCCCACCAAGTCTGGAACCTTCCCTCCCTGCATAACTTAAATTAATACTGGAGTGGGTCCAAGCTTTTTACCTTTGCAAATCACCCTTCTGAGAACTCTTAATAAATTCCATCATCAATAGTGAGGTGATGATTGCTTAAGATTTGCCTCAGGAGCAAGTAACAATACAGACTTACATTGCTGTACTTTAGCCTTGCTCACTAACACTCATTTATTGCAAATAATTTAATCTTATTTACAAATGCAGACTGGCATAATTAAGTCCTGGACCCATGATTGTACTGTTTTTCTTTTCAGAAAACAATTTTATCTTTGAATGACAAAATACTTTGAGAAATTGTTCTAAGATCAAATCAGTTTTTATATATTGAATTTGGCAGACCATCTTCACTGTCCCTCAATTCAGCCTACCCAGTAGATGGCTACCATGGTAACAGATGTGAACACTGAACTGAACTCAACATTTCAGTTAAAGTACATTGTCTTCTTGTATGGTTCATTTATCATGTATGTCACTTAGTGTTTAAGGCATGCACCCCACATAGATTTTATCTCTGAATCCAAAACAACTTGGCAGGTCATTGAAACAGCGTGCCTGAAAGGCCTAACTACTTTGACCAAGAAAGGTCATACTGATTGCACAACAATAAAAAAACTGTCCTGAAATCTGGCCTTTAAAGAGACTTTTCATCAGGATCCAGAGCTAAAACTGAGGAATCAAAATTTGGTCTTTCTGGTTGCGATAATGCATCCAATTTTGATGCAGCTTATTTATTATGCAGTTCTGGTAAGGACCATGATACACCAAGTACAGCAAATATTTTGCTGACCAGCATCTATGCTTAATGGTAAGGCTCTGAGGGGTGTTGCTGAACAAACAAACCTTGGGGTGCAGGTTTATAATTCCTCAAAAGTGGAGTCACAGGTAGACAGGGTCATGAAGAAGGCATTTGGTACACTTGCCTTTATTGGTCAGTGCATGCAGTACAGGAGTTCGGAGGTCATGTTGCGGTTGTACAGGACATTGGTTAGGTCACTTTTGGACTATTGCGTTTAATTCGGGTCTCCCTGCTATAGGAAAGATATTGTGAAACTGGAAAGGGTTCAGAAAAGATTTACAAGGATGTTGCCAGAGTTGGATTGATTGATTTATTGTCATTTGTACCGAAGTACAATGAAAAACTTTATTTATGAGCAGTACAGGCAGATCATAGTAAGCAAGGATGTACAGATCAGAGGTTGTAAAAAGACTTATGGCATTAGTTTAAAAGTGTAGAACGGCAATAGAAATGTTAAAGTTAGATCTGCTGTAGGGAGCTCATGAGCAGTCACATGGTGTCAGCACCATCTTTTTTTCCTATTAATTTAGTGGGATGTGGGCATCGCTGGGGCCAGCATTTCTTGCTTGTTCCTAGTTGCCCTTGAGAAGGTGGTGGTGAGCTGCCTTCTTGAACTGCTGCAGTCCTCCTGTCGTAGGTTGATCCACAAAACAAATTAGGGAGGGAATTCCAGGATTTTGACCCAGTGACAGTGAAGGAACAGCGATATATTTCCAAGTCAGGATGGTGAGTGGCTTGGAAGGGAACTTGGAGGTGGTGGTGAATCCATTTATCTGATGCCCTTGTCCTTCTAGATGGAAGTGGTTGTGGGTTTGGAAAGTGCTGTCGGAGGATCTTTGGTGAATTTCTGCAGTGCATCTTGTAGATAGTACACACTGCTGCTATTGAGCATCACTGGTGAAGGGAGTGGATGCTTGTCAATGTAGTGCCAATCAAGCAGGCTGCTTTGTCCTGGATGGTGTCCAGCTTCTTGAGCGTTGTTGGGGCTGCACCCATCCAGGCAAGTGGGGAGTATTCAATCACACTCCTGACTTGTGCCTTGGAGATGGTGGACAGGCTTTGAGGGGTCCAGGGTTACTTGCCGCAGTATTCCCAGCTTCTGGCCTGCTCTTGTAGCCACTGTGTTAATGTATGAGTCCAGTTGAGTTTCTGGTCAATGATGACCCCCAGGATGTTAAAAGTGGGGGATTCAGTGACGGTAACACTATTGAATGTCAAGGGACAGTGGATAGATTGTCTCTTATTGGTGATGGTCATAGCCTGGCATTTGTGTGGCGCAAATGTCACTTGCCACTTGTCAGCCCAAGCCTGGATATTGTCCAGATCTTGCTGCATCTTGTAACAGGCATAGGGAGAGGCTGAATAGGCTGGGGCTATTTTCCCTGGAGCATTGGGGGCTGTGTGGTGACCTTTATAGAGGCTTATAAAATAATGAGGGCGCATGGATAGGGTGAATAACAAAGAACCTTTTTTCCAGGGACCTTAGGGGCAACTTTTACATGCAGAGGGTGGTGTATGTATGGAATGAACTGTCAGAGGAAGTGGTGGAGGCTGGTACAATTACAACATTTAAAAGGCATCCGGATGGATACATGAATAGGAAGGATTTAACGGGATTTGGGCCAAATGCTGGCAAATGGGACTAGATTAATTTAGGATATCTGGTTGACATGGACGAGTTGGACCTAAGGGTCTGTTTCCATGCTGTACATGTCTATCACTCTATGGGATCAGGAACGTGCCGGTTAATCAAATATTCTGGTTGATCAAGAGGTCTGCATAATCAATGTAAAAATACACACTAAGTAAGCAGGAGTGTGTGCTAGAGTGGTTGGGGAGGGTCTAAACTAATATGCCAGGGGGATGGGAACTTATGTAAAGGGTCAGAGAAGAAGGCAGTAAGCACCAATAAGAAAGGTGATAGGCTGAGAAACCATGGACAAGATTTAAACAGGGCTTTGCAGAAAAATAAGGAGGAGACAAACACTGTTAAAAGAACAAGCTTAAAGGCTTTGTGCCTTAATGCACAGAGCATCTGCAGTAAAGTGGATGAACTAATCGCGCGGATAGATGTAAATGGGTTCGATATAGTTGGGATTATGGAGACATGGCTGCAGGGTGACCAGGGATGGGAACTGAATGTCCCAGGGGTATTCAGTATTTAGGAAGGACCGGCAAAAAGGAAAAGGTGGCAGAGCGGCATTGCTGGTTAAAGAGGAAATTAACACAATTGTGAGAAAGGACATTAGCTCTGACAATGTGGAGTCTGTATGGGTAGAGTTGAGAAATACCGAGGGGCAAAAAACATTAGCAGGTTTCATATATAGACCCACAAACTGCAGCGGTGATGTCGAGAATGGCATTAAACAGGAAATTAGAGATGTATGTGATGAGGGAATATTGGTGACTGTGGGTGATTTTAATCTGCACATAGATTGGGCAAATCAAATTAGCCATAATGCCATAGAGGAGGGATTCCTGAAGTGTATACGGGATGGTTTTCTTGACCAACATTTGGAGGAGCCAACCAGAGAGCAGGCCATCTTAGACTGGGTGCTGTGTAATGAGAAGGGAATCATTGCCAATCTAG